TCACACTGTCACCCATCACCACCAACAGGACCATGGAGGGGGAAGGGGGGAGCTTCAGTGGGCTCTTGGCTAACCTAATGACCCCCCCCCCCCCCCCCCCGCCCCCCGGGAGCGGATCTTATCAATCAAAGCAGAGTCGCAGCCAGCCCCCAAAACCACTCGTATGAAGAGTAGGGACGGCTGAAAATGTGCTGACGGCGAAGGAATCCTGTCACTTCACATTTCTGTTGCTTCGCTGGATCCCTGATGTGTTCTCCGCTCTCTTACACCACAAGGCCGGAGCTGCTTCAGGTTATATTTTGACACAACGGCTCGATGCCTCTGCCAATCCAGTCGCCTGTGTTGACAGCAACTTGAGCGTGACATCTTTGCATCTGCAAAACTCCGATAAATATTGAAACATATATTCTGTGCAGACACACACCGTATAAAAGGCACCCTCAGGTCATTCATGGCATGAAGAGCTGCGAATTCTCCCTGTTCATCCCACCACTTGCCGGCCAGTGACTGGAACCTCCTCACCTCATCGGGGTCCACTGTGTTTTTGGAGGATGACCCAGTGCTGCAGATGGAAAAAAACAAAGACAGGGACAAATAAACACTGTCCACAACTGGAGAAAAGGTTCCGGGGCCATGAAGTGTGAAGTCTCTGCCTCTAATATCAAGCTGCGGAATCCTCCTGTTGGGTCATTCAGTGTCAAGTCAGACAGGAAACAGGAAAGGTTACAGCAGCACCGTTAAATGATCGTGTCCCAAAAGGTCAGAAAACCATTTCAGTTAAATTGATGTATTTTATTTGTTACACTCTCACAAGTCTCACCTGGGAGGTCATGTTAGCAGATTCATGTTTCAGTCAGTAGAGAGATTTAAAAGCATGTCTTGTGTTTTCGTACATCAGTGCTGAAATGCCTTAATATCTTACAAGTGTAGAGAGCAAGGTCACAGACAACATGTGGCTGTGCTCAGAGAATGTAATGTCTCCTTAATGATGGCGCTCCTTCCTCAGAACCCATGCAAACCTTATATGATAGAATGTTTCTCTGTCTCTGTCGAGCACTCTCTCAGCACGTAGATTCAGCACTGTCATGAAAACAACTTCCCCTGCGAGCACCTTACGTCTCCGAGGTTTGAATTTAACCATCCTCTATGATTCCTCTCTGCCACCGTCTCAAAGATTCAAGACAAACTTTCTTCTTCCTATAAAGCTCTGGATTTGGAAAAAAGTGCAGTAACCTTAACTAGAGTGAGGTTGAGAGGATTACAGTCTGATTCTTTGCAACCAGTATGAAATAAATTATTTTTTCTTCAAATACAGTGACTGACATGAAGATACCACCAAGAAAACTTGTTTAGACACACTTCAACATACATATCAGGACCATTTCCTTATCTATTCCAATCCAAATGCTGAAAACATATTTCCCCAACTATTATAATTCCCATGGCACAGGAAGACCTTTTTATGGGTAAAATGATCTAGAATTCAGTATATTGTGAAAAGGAAATCTGGAAGGACACTGGAACCTTAAATCAAGCTATTTCCATAAATATATTTCTGTTCCTTCAGTCCATCAGTTGTAATACAACACTACAGAACATTTTGGACCAATGAAAACACCAAATTATGCGTCCACACCTTGTTTTATTTATGTTATTTGCATATGCGGATAACATATTGAATGACATCATATAGTGCCAACATGTGTGAAGTATCTGCAATATCACTCTCACTTTTGGTAGGCCAGTACAAGTTTGTATTGATCATCTACAGAAAAGATGTTTGTCTTTCCGTCCTACAAAGATGGTGAGGCTGGCGAACAATAATTGTCAAGATATTGGTGATCAAACATGGCTGCCCAGATAAGGGGTGCGAACAATAATATGAACAGTGGAAAGATATGAAACGACAGGATTTAAAAATAGATTTTACATTCGTCCAGAGCATCTGTTCAAGAATCTGAGACTGTGGTGATGTGACCCAGAAAGAACTGTGATGAAGTGAAAAGTGAGCACACAGGAACTGTTCAAACACTTGCTGGATGAACGTGCTGCTTTTTCTAGATTGTATCATTTCAGAATTACATGTATTTAAAGCTCAGTCTTTTCTAAAATCCCATCCTGACATTTTGCAGAACAATAAGAAAGATCAACAGTCACATCAGGGACAGTTGTGTTGCAGCTGAACTCTCATTGTTAGGACAAAGATCATTTAAAGGTCCAGTGTGTAAGATTTAGGTAAAAGGGAACTATTGGCAGAAATTGAATGTAGAATAATCCTCATGATGTTTTCACTAGTTCGTTTCATTTAAATTGTACGAATTGTAGTTTTCTTGACCCCAGAAAAGGTCCTTTATATTTAAATACTTCATATTTACATGGAGGGGACCCTCTCTATGGAGGCAGCCATGTTTTCTACATTAGTCCAGTCTGGACAAACTAAACACCTTTTGAGTTTTTATGACAACTGAAGCTGCCACAGTTTCTTTTTCATGTTTTGAAGGAGAGGGTGAGGTGAGGGGGGTTCAGCTGCAACATGCAACTTCACCACTAGATATCACTAAATTCTACACACTTAACCTTTAATCAGTACTTTTAGTTTGCTGAGTTGACCCATGACTGTCAGCTGTTTGTTTGGACCCCACTTTAAACTCTCTCCTGACAACACCAACACGATCAGACCATAAACACAGAGGCTCTGCTGTCACCCTGAAGCTTGACTGCACCAACCTGAAGTGACAGGACGCAGTCTGACACGGGCTCCACGCAGCAGCGCTCCTCTGCAGCCTCACTGGCCGCTGCCCACGCACCGCGGCCCCGCACACGCCGCTCCGACCCGCCCCGCACACTGCGCTGCGTGGACATCTGTACAGCGCCGACACGAGGCGTTCAAACTTGTTACAATGCATGTCACCGCACCGCGCTGCTGCCAGTCTGTTCTTCAACACACCAGGCAGCGGGACCTCTGGTGTTCCGGCGTTTACTGCTCGGGCAGAAACGACACCTTCTTTAGTTCCGACCGGGCAGATTAGTTGGTGTTAGCGGCAGGAAGGAAATGACAAACCCACTCCACGCTGAGGACAAAAATAGGTACGTCTATGTATTTTGTGTAATGGCTGATTTAGGGTTGTGACACAGACTAAGTCAAGTTTAACATATTTGAAAGTGAGTTCATGGGGTCTGTGAGGATGATCTGTTCATAGACACTAACTACACTGAGAATAAAGGTCAGAACACATTCTGCTGCACTGATGTGATTGGAGGACATTGTCGTGCTTATGGTCCTGCAGAGCTTATGACTGCTCTTGAACCAGTATGCAGACACGGTAACAGCAGCTCTGTCCTGTGATACGAACATGCAACATTTCCAGTTTTACATAAAATGGTTTCCTGTTCACTGACAGCATGATCGAAGACGCAGAGAAGCAAAAACAAGGAACAAACGGTTTTATTGACATTTTACAATAATATTGGAGGAAAAAGATGAACCCTGTTACTGTTTAAAATGATACAAGTTGAATCTTTAGTGTTTACTGAATCTTGTTAAGTTTTGCATAAAATTACAAGTGTAAAGTCCTACCATTCGAAATGTCTTGTTCTTCAGTCACACTTTAAAATAACAACATATTTACACAGATGAAAAAAAAAAAAAGAAATGTGAGAGAGAGAGAGAAAGAGAGAGGGAGGGAGGGGCGGTCACCTACACAACTGCCTCTATAATGAGACAAGCCTGTTCAACTCATGGAATTTAAAATGGTATCGTGCACAGATCATGAGGTTAGCTGTGCTCCTCAGCGTCTGCTATGACGGGAGAGGGACGCTGACCTGTAAGAGAGGCGCAGACAAAACATTAATATACTGCACCGAGAACTCTCACCCACACAGACTACAAAACACAGACATGCACCAGACATACTGCCAGAGTATGACATACTGTATATAAAATCTACCCTGTGCAGCCAAGTGATATGCATTTGTTAGGTTCACGTGATAAGACCTTATCTAAGTTCCCCCCACTCTTCTCTGGGCAGGAAACAGACAACACATTTTAACAAGGGGCTGAAAATATCTAGTCTAGTAAGGTAACAGAGGGTAGCATCGAGATTTGATGAAACTGAAATTCATCCATGGTCAATTTGCATTTGATAGAAAGAAAACTATCATTATATGCTAAAACTCTTTATTGCATCAGATGTGACTGAAGCCACGTTTTCAAAAACATTCAAGCAATCATTTCTATGATTTTCCTTCAGTTATTGAAAAATATATTGACTAAAAGGAATCCAGAGAAATCACAATGAGACGTACAATGAGAACATACAATAAGAAAGAGAGAGAATAAAAACGAATACTACCTTGATCGCGACTTAGACTTGTGTTTGCGGCTTGCCTTCTTACCAGACTTGTGAGATTTTTCCGTCGACCGTGAGCGACTACGTTTGGATTTCTTAGATTTCTTTTCCTTGCTAACCTCGGGGGTAGGGGATCTACTCGAGTCAGAGTCTGAGCGTCTCTTGCTAACTTTGGCGGAGCCCTTCTTGCTGCCTTTGCTATCCTGCCGGGAGTGCTTGTCACTCTGAGAGTCCGTAAATGAGTTGCTCTCTCTCCGTTTCTTTGATTTGCCATTCTCCTCTGTGACTCCAGGGCTTCCTTTTTCCTTTTCCTTCTCATTGCCCTTTGGTTTTTCTTTCCTTTTATCAGAATCTTTCTCCCTATCCTTGTCTTTATCCTTCTTTTTCTTATCTTTCTCATGGCTGCGACTCCTGTCTCTCCGCCTCTCGCGGTCTTTGCTGGAGGCCTTCTGCTTGTGTTTGCTGCTGCGACTATGACTGCTGTCCCTGCACTCTCGGCTCCTCTTCCTCTCTTTTTCTTGCTCTTTCTCCTTTTCTCTCTCTCTGCTGCGACTGCGGCTGTCTCTGGCCCTGGCTCTGCCCCTGTCTCTCTCTCTAGATCTGGACCTGCTCCTGCGACTCCTGCGCTCCCTGGAATCACTGCGGTCTGTCTTGTGGCGGCCTGACCTGTCTGTGCTGCTCCTCCTCCTGTCCCGGACCTTCTCACTACGCTCGCTGCGACGCCTGTGTGAACTGTGGCTGCGTTTGCGAACCTTGCGAGACGAAGAGCGACTGCGTCTCCTCTTCCTTTGTGGGGAGGATGATCGAGAGGAGCTGCGGGAAGATGCTGAAGAAGAAGAGGAGGATGATGAAGAACGACTGCTGCTGTGGCTGGAGGTGGACAATGAGCTGCTGCTGTGACCATTTGCAGGGGAACCGCTACCACCTCGTCCCGATCGCTCCTTCCCTCTACCCGAGTGCTTGCTTTCACTACCCTCCTTTTCACTACGGGACCTACGCCTCTCTACCATGGGCTCCGCCTCCCTCTCTTTTACTTCCTGCTTGTGTGGAATCTCTGCCTGGCCCTCATCATGTTCCCCTTTTTCTCTGCTCAATCTCTCCTTCACCATCTCCTCTGTGGAAACAAACAAAAACAGGAAATAGGCTCTGTTAGGATTTGCAACACAGCAATGTATGACTGCAACTTCGAGTGACAGTTGGACGTCACAAACATCACATCTTACCGCGTGCAAGCAGAGCCTCTTGTGCTTGTTTTTCTAGCAGCTGCTGCATTTCCCGTTCTTTGCGGCGGAAGGCGTCCTGCTTCTCCCGGATGCGGTGGCGCAACTCCTCCTCGTCTGTGTCAGAGGACTCGGATCCTCGCATGCTGTGCTCCTCCTCATCCTCACTCTCATCTGAACCATAGTCACCGAGCCCGCCTGCCACAACAGAGCCCCCAGGTTGTTGAGTGTTGGAAAGGACCCAGATCCATTCTCACAATCAGGTTCCAACTTCTGAAACCCCTTACTCACAACCCAAGGTCCCCTCTCTCCCAAAAAAGGTACTTAATCCTGTTTAATGCTGTATTTCATTTCCATAATCCCCTTAAAACCAAACTAATACATACAGATATCCTTTCAAAAATACTAATATCAATACTTTGAGCGCATGCTTCTACCATCAGAGTGCAAAACTAAACCCAGTAGGATGCCACTTCAGTCTTAATGAATCTTTATCTTGCGTTTTTCTGGTTCCAACTAACACGGCGGCATGAAATTGAAATTTTTTATTATTTTTCTTCCCTCCCCCCAGTGACAAAAAAGGGATACTCACTGAGACCAGTCAGAGAAGCCAGTGCACTTGACTGTGCCAGCTGTTTTGCAGGAGCTTTGATTCACATCAACAACAGGAACAACATGTTAAAAACACATACTGCCATTTTCTCAAAGGCACGAGAGTCGCTAGAGAGGGCGGTCACAGAAAAAGGACTATTCACATGAGCTGCCGTTGGTAAGAGAAGAAACAAAACAAAAATGAGAACAAAAAGGAAAAAAATGGAGAGAAGAGAGAGGGTTAACAAACAAACTGCTGTCACAATCCAAGTCAAACAGTTGGACTGGAGGAAAAGAACCAATCTGTACTAATGCACAGTCACTTGAATGGAGAAAGTCACTTGTGTCAATAACTGGGTGCTGGTCTGAGTCAATGCTGAGACTTTGTTCAGCCATACAGTCTTTCAGTTGCACCTTCAATGCCATGATGAAGATGTTTTCAAGTGATTGTGGGAAACATGGCTCTGCTCACTCTCCTTCTGATGCATTAGCAGAGAATGGTTGAAAATACATTTCAGACATACTCCCAGGTTTTTATTTTTTAGATTAGTTAGTTGCTCAATCACCCTTTTACAGGGCACCACTGAATCTAATTTAAAATACTTATATAAATATAATGGATCTTCAGATTTCAACAATGTCTTGATGACAAGTGTGGATGATGTATAAACTGGAAAAAACAAAAGCAGACCTCGAGTGGCTTTCCGGTGAGTATCTTTGGCAATGTGCAGGATCTCTTCGTTGGTGACCTCAAGAAGGATCTCTGTCAGAAGTGTTTTTGTGATGATCATCTAAAAATTGAGTGAAAAGCATAGGAAATGCAATATTTTCAATGAATATTTTCAAATCAAAGGTGGATATATCAATTACAACAATGTAGATGCATTGGTCAAACTCACTAGCTGAAATTCCTTTTCCTCCTCAGTCATTTCAGGTTCACTGTCCTCTGCAGGAGGTGATGGGCTCCGGACAGAAAACTCCCTCTTTATGACGGGCTTCTCTTCCTCGTTGTTGTCTTCATTCCCCTCATCGTCACTGTCCTGAAGTAAAAACAATAAAAAACTGAGATTAAAATCGCAAAGCGTTTAAACGGATCATTGCTGTAGTTGGACTATACATATCATCACTAACACAACAATGTAAACTGATTTTCAAAGATAACCCTTCTGCAGTCAAGGCCAAAAATGTGTTGCTTACAAATTTGCTCTTGCGAGGCACACGTGGCCCGTCACCCTCCTTGTCTGCTTCGTGTTCGTTGCTATTATCCTTTGCCATCTCTGCGCGCTCCTTCTCCATTCGTTCGCGCTCCAGCTTCTTCTGCTTCTCTCTGTCCATCTTTTCAAGGCCTTCACGGATCCACGCAGGTAGTGTTCGTCTTTTCACAGCATCTAGAGGAGAAATCCATGGTCAAAAGGATTGTATCCGCATACTGACGTATGAAGATTTGTCAACTTGTTTTGAAGTTTTTCCATTCACACACGTAGAGGACACCGACAAATAAGTGAAGAGAGTTTGTGGTCATAAGAACTGACACTGGTGTCTGTGTTTTGTCAAGACAATCACGTGATCTACGCAGCGGAGTTACTACATCACTTCCTGTCTCTGTCAGCTGCATCCGGCTGCTCCACCTCTCGTCTGAATAATGGAGGATAACGGTGCTGATGTTCTGTAATCAGAAATATGTGATCTCTGCAACCAAATGAATATGTTACTTCCCGCCTCTGATTGCTTGCACCACTCCTCACCTGAGACCTGCGGAGGATTTGTTGCTGTTGTGAATGTGTCTGAGCAGAGAATCTCCCGCTCCGTTGATTGTGTGAAAGGCAAACTGGGGAGAATGTCCACACCTAATTCTCCAGAGTTCCTCCGCAGGTCATCTCTGAAAACGACTTTAGATGAGTAAAATCTCCCACTCACCTAATGGTGCTGCGGCCTCCTGCTTGACAGGGAGCTGGATGGGGGATCTGGGCCGTTCTCTGAACCCGGGGGGTCGGGCATCTCGTCTGTTCTGAGGAGGACCCTGCCAGTATGGAGAGTGGAAGCCCGTAGGTGTGGGGGCGAAGGACGAGGCAGCTCCATGCTTTGGAGAGACAGCACAAAAGTAAAATTAAGAGAATTTTAAAGCACAGAAGGTCCTGTACATACCACCAGGTGGCATTCAATGAGCGTGGGGGCTGTGGTCTTTCCCCAGGTTATTTTAGCTAACATTCATCCATAGCTCCTAACTGTGCTAGAAAATTTGTTTGCTTGGAAAAAAAAAAGAACAGCTGATAAAATAATACCAAACCATGCTGGATCCTCAACAAGCCAACACTTTCCTCTGCACCGCATCAAGAAAGCAATGACTGATACACCTAGATGCTGGGACCCGGCACAGTTTCTATGGATTGCTCCTTCTTGTGTTACTTGGTTGTCACACTAAAACCCAAACGCTTCAACAGTTTCTACCGTAGCATCTGCATACCTGATAATCAAACTGGTTCATGGCCATGGGGGCCATGGCGTAGCTGTCGGGCTGTGCCCCATACCCATGGCTGTTCTGGGGGTAAACCCCGTGGTGGGCTTCAGAGTTGAATTCCACGCTGTCCTGGCTGTTGCTGTCCTCACTGGGGTTCACCACATCCATTGGTCCTGACCCTGGAGGGATCCAGGCCTGATCAGGGGGTGGAGGAGGAGGAGGAGGAGGAGGAGGGGGTGGCTGTCCGTGCATTCCCCATTCTATTAAAAATGTACGAAGATGACATAGTAAATACAAACCAATGCAATATGTGGAAACACTGGAAAAAAAAATCAATGTGGCTGTCGTGTGTGTGTGTTCACAAGACCAGTCAGAGCACCACACAGATCAAGAATTTCATTTTTCTCCAGAAGCTGCATTGGTTGAAAACTGTTTCTAGCTCTACCTGTGGCTGACCAGTGGTCAGTTTGATGCCCTTCTAGCTTGGATCAGTAGCAGGACCTGTCACCAAGTTTATATTCTGAACAGTAATTGGCTTTCAGAACATCGCAACATGCAAATATTAATGCTCAAAATCAAAAAGTATATCAAGTGAGAGAAACGAAAGTTCACTTTTGTCGCGACATGTCACTCGCAGATTGCGATTAATTTGTGTCTTTGACTTTGTGTGTAATCTCAATGCACAAAATATTTGCTTTGCATTTGATGTAAGTGCACCATTTAAATACATAAGAGGAGAATAGAGAAAATGAACAACCAGAATAAATGCCTTACAGCTCACGAGGATTGAATGCATACCTGGCTGCCACATTCTGCCAAAAGCTGGGTCACCCTGGAAGGCACCGTGGTTACTTTGTCCGACGGGTTCAAGGCCTGGGATGTCCTGCCCATTGGGCTGAACGCTCGGCTGCTCTGCTACTGTGGACTCCTTCTGGGCTATCCATGCCTGTGCCAGAGCGGCCCAGTCCACTTGACCTGCAGCAAGTCAAGAGATCAACACACACATGTAAAATGGACTGACAAACACAAAGGCTCTTACACTGGAGGGTGTTCGAGATGAGCAAAGGAGACCTGCAGATTTGATGTTAGTAAGAAATGCTATCACTGTGTGTGTGCATCACTGACCTGGATCTTGCTGGTGCTGGAAGGACTGCATCCACTGCTGCTGGCTCAGAGGCCACTGCGGCCAGGGCTGTCCTCCCTGGTCCCACATCTCTCTCCCTGGATTCGAACCTGAAACATGGAGAGCGGGCCCACTGAAGTTTTCTGGTTTTAAATTAGCACCACTCTCACTGACATGGCAATAGCAGTTTAAGTGCTGTAACATTACACTTGGATCTGGTCTGGTGGACACACCAACGAGTGAGCGTTAGCTTCGACTGCAGCGCTAACGTTACCTCAAGCTGCTCGGCTAGCTGTGTTAGCATTACGTTAGGGGCGCTTCCATCTGATGGGATCAAAGCCTCTGTGCTATAATGTCTTGGAGCATTTATTGATATTGCTGAAATACATTCGTAGTCGGCAAAATGCCCCAAACTGTCTGTGCTCCTCCGAGCAGCAGAGGCTCAGCCAAGCTAACACGAGCTGACGTTAGCTGAGATCAAAATGAACGCTAACGTATAGCAGCAGCATTTTAGCCGTTGAACAAATATGCCTCGGTGTTTGGATTACAGTCCGCGCAGATGTGTACGGTGGAGGAAACTAAAAGGAGCTCTTTGCTTTCAGTAACACGATCCCCACCTTTTCCTCACAGGCTCCCTCCGGCGCTGCGGCTCCGGATCAAAATGGCTGCACTGGTGCCGAGGCTCTTGCTGGTGCCTTCAGGAGCTGCCGGGAATTTTGTAGTTCGCACTTAATCAGTATTTACCTTTTTCAAAGTGTGTTGCATTTATCGTTTCACACATGCAACTCTGTATGTCTGCAAAATGAAATGCACCATCAGCCCACGATTTTTAAAAAATGGGAGAGTAAAAAATAAAGGAAACTTTAGGATATTATATTCCAAAATAGTAAGAACTCTCATTAATCAGTCACTTTGACTGGTGAGCTTAGATTTCCGCTACGATGCCCTTTTTATCGAGCTCAGAAGATTACGAGCAGCAAGTAAATGCATCATTGGTACTGCGAGTTTCATTGCACTTGTGACTGAACTGAGTGCACGCGCACTCACGCACGCTCACGCACACTCACGCACAGATCCTTAACCATTACCCTTTAATGTCTGTATATATAGCTCTATGTGTATATATATAGTTAATTCATTTGTTGTTACTTATCCTAAGTGTAACTCTCCTGTAACAAATCTTAATTCTCTTTTATTGATTATTGCTGTTATTAATATTTATCACAGATATATGCCATATCTTTCTCTATTTAACAGAGAGGGAAGAGGCCTTTGAGGTTCTGATAATTTCTATAAAACCTGAAACTCCTGCTGCCCCACCGGAGCTTGTGGTCTTTCAATCCTTTCATTATATTATTACTTTATTTACTTATTTATTCATCCATTTTATTCATTGAGGGACTTCTAACACTCACCATCCCTGTATGTACCTGCCCGCTCATTCAAAGTGCTGCATTCTAACTCCAACCTAACCTGCTTCTAACCTTAAAAGGAAGTCTGAACCATCACACAGCCTTTTGTAAAAAAAAAAAAGAGGACCAGTCAAAATGTCCTCAGTAGGATTTAGGTTGAGGGAACTATTGGCACAAATTGATTATACAATAATCCTAGCGATGTTTTCACTAGTGTGTTTCATCTAAGTTGTATGGATTGTTGTTTTCTTTATCCTAGAATGGGCCCTTTATATCTATGTTTGTTACAGTAGCCCAGACTGGACAAACTAAACATCTTTTGAGTTTTTATGACAACTGACGGCTGCCTGGAAGGAGAGGGTAAGGTGAGGGGTGTTCAGATGCAACATGCAACTTTACCACTAGATGTCACTAAATGCTACACACTGAACCTTTAAATACACACACACACACACACACACGCACACACACAGTCCAGCATGACACCTGACATTAACAGTCTGTGTGCATGAGGAGGAAGAACAGTCAAGGTGAAGCTTGTGTATTCTCTCTGCGTGGAGGCTCTGGTAGTTTGAGCCAGAGCACTTTGACGTCAGATCTCTCATCAATCTGTGACAAACACAATCCTGATTAGACTTCACAGAAGACTGACCTAAATTATTACATGACACTAGATTTCCTCTGAGAATACGCCCGATCTTCTCCTCATACCTCTTTCCTTGTTTCAGGTGTTAGAGGTGAACAACTGTTTGAAGAGGGGTGCACTGTGTTTGGAATTAGACGGCTGCTCTGCATCCATTGACCACACCTCCTCAGTTTCAGTGAGTCACATTTGACACATTACGTTCCAGTGCAGTGGTTGTCTCTGATTGTCTCTTTGCTGTTGTGAAGGGGGTTTAAAACAAACTATGAACGACTGTAACCTACAGAAATCCCCAAATGATCAGTATGGCTCTGAAGTACATCAGCGAAGTGCAGCAGCAGCAGCACACTTCCAAACTGCTTGGCCCGTGGGTGTTAGTCATAGAGCTGATCTCAAAAATGCTGCAGGGCTTCTGGCTGTTTCCTCCCCCAGCAGCTCAGTGTTCCATTTATGGGCAGACAAACAGAGGACAGTGGGAGATGGAGAGATTGACCTGTTAGCAGCTGAAGGTGGAGATGCTACAAGCAACTCTTAAACCTCATTAAGTACTTTATAATACTTTTTTGTGTATTTGAGATTGGTGTTAATAGAATGACATAAAGCATCATGACCAAGAGAACAGAGAACTCATGAATTTGACCGGAGGTGAGATGCCAACTCTTTTTGGTGTCAAGTGCACAAAAAAGTTTAGCAGTGCATCTGAGAAAACACCAGGTAATTATAGGCTGATTAAGTTGAGTGTGTTGAAAATATGCAGTCACAAAATACTAACATTTGTGGCAGCTTTTGACATTTCAGATTTAGATTCTAAATATCATTAGATCAGAGAACAAGATATAACACTGTTATATCACTGTTTTTTACAATAAGACTGAATACAGCATTTAAATGTTATATATGTATTATGATAGGAGTCATATTATACTACCTGATAAGTACTCTTAGTTCGCCTCCACTCCAGCGACAGCCAGTGACAGATGCATAATATTTGTCCAGTATGTACGAATGTCCCTATGTCCGTTCCATTTTTGGGAATTAGATATCTCGGGAACACCTCTAGGGAATTTCTACAAACATTCAGTTAGACTCAACATATAACTAGCAAGATTTTGGTTGATAGAGGTCAAAGGTCAAGGTCCCTGTGACCTCACAAAACATGTTGTTGGACCTTGAAGGAATTTCTATAGATTTGACACAATCATTCTCCTGGACTCACGGATAAACTGATTAGATTTCAGTGGTAAAAGGACACAGTGACCTTATATGAATCGGGAAAGAAATGTATGCTGGGATTTGGCGCTATTCAAACAAAATTAAATTGAAATTGAATTATGAAGGCCTCTTTTTCAAATATGCAACAATAGTGTTAGGTTGAGCATCTGATGTGAAGTTGCTCTGCAGCCCTTACTGGATGTCACCGTTTTCCAATAACATGTCCAATAATAATATATTTAATGAGGGTCCTGTTGGTCAACACAGTGTTGGTGGTAGATTATAGTGTAAAGAGCAAAGCCTGAGGCACATGCAGTGTGTAGATGTTTCTGCATGTGTTTACCATGTTGTGCGTTAATGCACGTATGTGGTTCGGTGTCAGGAAAAGTGAGACTGACAGTGACGGTGGTGGTGAGAGCAGAAAAATGTAACCCCCACTGCTGGTGGTGGAGCATCCCTGCACCACCTTATTAGTTTCTTACAACTGTCACATGGGGGGGTGGGGTGCTTTTCATTAAGTGAGATTAATCAAATCTAATGCTTCAACATCATGTCCTAGAGCCAAACCACCCCCCTAACATACACACGCACACCCCAGAGCCACACTTTAAAAATAGACAAATACATTTCAGAAAAGATTTGATCTCTTTGTTGGTGGCGGTGGTGACAACCTGCTTTAATGCTCCAGCAGCACGACTGGGATGTCACAGCGTGTGGAAACGAGAGGACGTGTAAGGCGATGGTCTTGGACGTTGCCCTTTTCTTGATTCGACACCCACCTCCCCTTCACCAGCTCGCGACATGTTCTGAAGCAGTGCTGTTCTGCACCCGTCACGGCCGATCACCGGCCAAGAAGGGCTGAATATGGCACCCTGGGATCTGCTGTGACAGCCTAGAGCTATGGTGGACAATGTTTCGCTTTGAGTAAAAAACAACAGGACATCAATTCCAAAGCAAAAGAAGACAGAAAAAAAAAAAAAAAAAGTCTATTGCGAGCTCTTGTCTGCGAGCGCTGTTGCACAAGTGAGGCGAAACATAAAGAGAGGCAAGCTGAATGTTCAGTTCATAAATTAGATTTATTTTGATACAGTATGTAGTGATACTCATTCAAAATGTTTATTATTTCAAAGCTGAAATTAAATGTCTTTCTGAAAACAAACATCCGTCTTGAGGAAAAACCCTGAAGCACCAAACTTTCCTAGTTTCTAGTATGTACAATTACATAAACTCTATTATTTTTGCTTACAGTAATTTATACTGTACATAAATGTTCCAGACATGTTTCTCTTTAACTCTGCATATGTTTTTCTTCTCACTATGCACAGGTTTCTTAAACCTAAACATAGGCACTGAATTTGCCTGTGATGCATATGTTTAACCCTTTCCCTTCCACTGTTTTGGCAAAAGTCCAACAACCAAGAAAACAACGTTTTTCATTCAAAATATTTTCATAGAAAAAGACGAACAGTTCATGAGACAGACATTTCAAGAATAGGCAATACATTCATGAGAACATTGACCCATGCACATGACATCAAAGATGATTTTCTAGTACAGCTTGAAGCCTTTTGTATGTATATTTTTTTTTGCTCGACCTTATTGATAATATTAGGGAATAAAGAGTCAGTGTTGCAGTGCTGACTCTGTCGGGCTTCTTAATGGGTTTGTGTGTGCGTCCACAGAGTTGCACTAGAGCTGAAATACAATGGAAGGCAAACAAGGTGCTTTGTTGGGCTGATGAGGATCGGGTGTGTTTGTCTGTGCAGCAACACTAAACAATCATCGAGATACTGATTGAAAGAACTACTGCTAAAGAAACTCTGGCTGAAGTAAACACCTCGCATGTTTGGTTTGGATTTTCTGCTCTGACATGCAGCCACAAAAACGCGTCTTTGGCAAATGTAACTGACTGATAGTCTTACATTCATACATTCTGATGAAAAATAGAACAATCCCTTTAAAGTAGGCTGTAAAATAACTGTTGTGCTACTCTTTAAAAAGGAGCTGTGTGCAGCTATTTCCGGATGTAAACTACTGTGAGATGTGATCAACTTGTTGTTTCTATTATCATAATCAACGTGGGCCGAGGCTGAGACAATTACATGATACTATACAACACAACTGGGATTACTTCCTCCACTAAGGATTAATCGATTTTACGTTCAGATTTTTTAAAGCGTTGATTTAACACCCTGCACACGAACTCACAGCCACTGATTTTGCTTAGATTAGTTTGCACTCAGGACTGTTCTATATTTTGTTGCTTGCACTCAGATCCACCTTCGGCGCTTCACGCTGCCCGGGTCTAACGTCTGCTCTCGGATATCTCCTCTGCTCTCCGATTATTTCTTCTGTTCTTGGATTTTTTGGGCAACAAGTCTGTCAAAAGTCCCCAACCAACAGAACGCGTGTTGTGATGACAAATGAAATTGTCCTTCCCTTGTTGTGGGTGAGTTAACAAAGCCATGGAGGGCAGCATTGCATGAACATATGTATGGCACTCTCAAAGATGTAAAGCGAACACACCCACAACAAGGGCGGCACAATTCAATTTTCCAAGTTGTCAGAGAGCAGAGAATTCCGACAGCAGATCTTTCATGCGTGCACAGGGAGCGGAGCTGAAGCTGGAGCTCAGGAAATCTGCCCAAGCCACAAAATCTGAGTGCAAGCACAGTTTGAGCACAGACAAAGCAAATCGTGAGGGGTTTTGAGTGAGAGCATTTCAACATGAACATGAACACCTGAACATGAAATTAGTAAGTCCTGCTCCCAAACTTAAAGACCACACTAAACCCATTTTCCACCAAACATGGTGGACGAATGGGACCTGGTCCTGAAAAGAACCAATTCAATTTAGGTGTTTGTTCTAATACCGTGCTATATAAATACATTTGATGATGATGAGGTGCAGATGCAAATTAAAGGGCAATTCCAGGAAATGTCTTTAATCATGTTTTATGACGTAAGTCATTTAGGTTATCAGACCACTTCCTTTCGTCTTTATTATTTCTACTATAAGAAATCCACTATCATGTGTAGCATTGTTCAGCCTTGGCGGAGGTACGGACTCTCCGAGTTAGCAGTGGAGTTTCTCAAATGTATGATCATAAACTCTGTCATGACTGATATTACTACTTGTCTTTAGTGTGAAGGACAGAACATGTCTGAATTCATTGTTCTTTTACAGACCATTATCTATTATTAAATACATGATCAGGCCTGTTTGTCACCAAATCGTAGCCAGTGCCTTGTTGTATGAAATGTTTTGTGTAGAGCTCTGACACAGGAGCCAATATTTATTAGACTGGCCCTGAGTTTTAATATTAATTATACCAAGTATGCCAAATTAACCTGGCAGTCATATACTGATTAGAAAATGCTACACACAGCACCTTAAAATTACATTCTCCTGTCTCTCACTCACCCACACACACACACACACGTGTATGTGCTTACACACAAACACATGTATATACACACACACACACACTATATTGACATCAACTAGTCAGTGCTGAGCACAGTTTAGCATGCAATAACTGCTTATTTCCTGTTAGGTACTGTAGCAAACTCCTTCATGCAGTTTCTATCTCAGGCACGGGATTGTGACCAAGAGACGAAAAAGACGGACGAAGACGATAAATCTAAACAGCTCAGGTTCAATAATCTTTTTTTCTTCTCTTACTCAAGCTTCTTTTAGAAGGGTAGGATTTTATATAATGGAAACAAATGGAAATCAAGACTATATCAGAGCAGAAAACAGTAATTTCAACCTCTCTTGTTAATCTTTCATATATCTAAGATATTTAAAAGCGCCCATTTCAGATTTCTATTTAGAGTTTGCATGGAAATGGTACAATGGCCCTTCTCCTGTAGGAAAAGTGAGCGTACAGTGAAGCCTTTCCCTTTTTTCGTGCGTCCACTCACTCACAGGTGCAGAAAGAGTTGTACAGGCTGTACCAAAAAAAACAATACAAAGTAAAAGATTTTTATGGACAACTGCTTTCACTGGTCACATTACAGCATTTCCTCATAAAAGAGCAAGTATGCCTGAGAGTTGAGTACCCTTGATTCCGGTACTGTTTGAACGGTGGTATCGCTGACGTACACCCACTGGCCCTGGGAGCTGCCGCTGGCCTCCCTCGCACCTGGAAAATACACACAGTTTCAATACAAAGCTTCCCTTTAATGAGAGGATACTTGTGTGTTGTGGGATGTCATGAACAAATATTGGAAAAAAGGATAAAAAAACAAGTAGTATTGCACATATTGTTTGGCACTCATCCTCTGGTGGTTGGCTTCATCGTGGTTATACAATCCTGTTCACAGAATAGAAACGTACAAGACAGACAGCAAAGCAGCAGAAACCTTGAACCTAACCAAACCATACCAGTGTTCTGTTGGTATGTGAGTGTGTGGATGTGGATGATGTGAGCTGGCAGAGAGCATGGGATCATCTAAAGAACCCTCTGCTGCCACTGGAAGTGAGGTTTCTCAGCTTCTTGCTGGGCTTCAACTATTTTCCATTTTTTTTACCATTGATATTTTCACCGTGAGATTTTGTGCTAGAACATAAGGAACCTGTACATAGTATAAAAAGCAATACGAGTTACACTCTAATTCTTTGAATCCTGGAAGTTGTCAGGGAAAATGGCCTCATTCTTTAAGCCAATGTTTTCAACTGTTTATTTTCAGCTAAGAACTTCAGGTTATTACTTTTTCTTCTATATACAGTACATGTGTATAAATGTTTCCTTTGGTAGGTAGGTTAGCAAAGCATGTTCACCATATGTTACCCTGAAGACAATATTGTGTAATGATATATAAGAGACACTGTGTAAACAGGTTTTGTGTCGTACAACAGCTGTTTCTAGAAGCAGGTCAGGAAGGAGACCTTATTTTAGACTGCGAACATTTTCTCCGAGACAGTTTTTCGGGGAAGTATGTTTGTTCTTTTGATTGGCAAGTGTCTCTGTATCGAACTCAGCCACTATAACTGAGATTTGATTCAACATGTTTATGAAACTGATGCCCTGACCATTATGATGGAGTATTGGGGCCACTTAAAGGGCCAGTGTGTGATTTAGGTGAAAGGGATCTATTGGCAAAATTGAATGTAAAATAACCCTAGTGAGTTTTCACTAGTGTGTAATTATCTAAATTGTATGAATTGTTGTTTGTTTGGGGCCCTTTATATTTACATTGGGCCCTCTCTGTGGAGGACGCCATGTTTTTTTACAGTTGCCCAAACTGGACAAACTTAAACCTTTTGAGTTTTTATGACAACTGCTGCAACATGAAACTTCACCACTAGATGTCACTAAGTCCTACACACTGAACCTTTTAAGGGAAAAATGTATCTGATATTTTGAAAATGATGTTCTGATGGAAAAATTTTTATGAGAATAAAGTTGTGATATCAGGAGAATAAAAACACAATTTTAAGATATGTGCCAGAGGGGGATTATCAGAAGATCATGCCTGACATCTGTGTTAAAATTTGAAATTTGGAGCATCTTGTTGAGTTGAATACTTTAGATGATGGAGATGTTTCTCAAATAACAAAATACCTCATGTTTAGGTTCATCAGCACATTATCATGTATCAGGAAAAGATTGTGCAACAAACTATCAATACTAAAGAAAGAACCACACAGACTTGGGGGAAGTTGCCTTGTTTGTGGAGTAGGCGACGTTTGGCCGTGGTTGACTGTGAGGTTATCGTTTATTACATTGGTGTGATATTCAAATGGGTTTTGTAATTTCTTAAGAAACACTGACTGGTTCAAGATTTTGGATGCAGAAATTGAACTCCTGCTAGCATGGGCTCTTCTTGCGGCAGTTGAATGTCTTTTTTATATAATATTGTGACTTTTTCTGATGAAATTAGGACGTCATTCTCCAACTCAGATTTTATTTTATTCATATGGCTGAACTTTCTGTCATCACCAACCAATGGTTTTAATTATGTGTCAAGTCTGACAGTATCAGTATCACAAAAACATGGATCGATAGAACACAGAACCCTGTATTCATCGTGCGCTTTGACATCTTCAAGCTTATAAGAGGTGAGGCCTCTGAATGCTTTCATCAACTTAACACAAACGTGCAGATGCAGAAAACAAATAAAAGATCTTAAAAGAGCTCAGGAGAGCTGAACCCTGACCTGACAGGTTCCTGTGGTGCTGATCGGCTTTCCTCTGGGAAGAGCGCACTTTTACATATGCAGTGTAGTGCCCCCCTCTCATCGAGCCACTATGTTCCACAATCCCATACAGACTGTAGAGGACACGCTCACCGGCAGCCAGGTTCTAAAAGAAATGTGAAAAAAGGGCTTAAAAAAGTGAAGGAACAGAGAAAGACATCTCCAGAAACAGCCCCAACCAAGGACCTTTACTAAACTTAATAAACTGGAATGGCAGAAACCTTTAGCCCGTTTAAAGTGAAATTAATGGTAACTGTAGGAGAGAGTTTAAAAACCAAGATCCATTCACTTTCAAACTGAATGTTTTTGACTTTTAAATTTGTTGCTAAATACCTTGCAGGATGCTGAACAGAACGGTGACAGATCCAAGATCAGAGGGAAGTCAACATGACGATTCACCTTTCGTAGGTTCATCCCTGCCTTAAAATATAAACACAGAACAGTGCCATTTGCAACATTTGGATAGATAAACAACAAGACAAACAAAAAACACAGAGAACTTTTAACAGCATTTGAATACTGTATCTGCTTGCTAAAATGGCCGGTGATGAAAAGGCTGTGTGTGGCTGCTTACCTGGTGGAAGCGTTTAAGATGCAATGTGATGACTGGAGGCAGCGAGGATATCAGCATTTGCTTTCTGGCGCTGGTGTAAATCTTCTCCACCTTCTTATCTATGCAAACGAGAGAAGACCCAGAGTAATGACAGGTTAAACCTGTAAAACAACAATTCTGAAAAAGAACAAATAACAATCGCAGGATCATAAAAACGTGGGATTTCAAGTTTCCCACAGGTGCAGCGCTCCATGAAGGTAAAAAGTACTTTACCCAGCCAACAATAAAGCCTAAAGGTAATGATGAGATCTTGATATTCAAAAGATGGATTTTGGGTGCCCTGAATGCGTCCTGATGTCTGATCATGAAAACCACAGTCTGAGGTGCTCAGAGACGCATGTGGCCACATTCTTTTCACTGCTTGAACGCAAATCCATCCTGTCCACTGATTTGTTTTTAGCTACTGCCGCAATATCAACACTGATCACCACAAAATAATAAATACTTTCCTTATATTGGTAAAATCTTTCACATTCATTCAGTCATCCATTCAGCCCCAAGCTCTCTCTTTCTCTTGCTTGCGTCAAGGCACACACAATGACAAACATTGACATCTGACCCATCTGTAATCTCAGACTGGGTAAAAACAACATCATCAGAAGGTGGAAGTTAGATCACAAGTGATCGCACAAAGTGAACAGACAAACAACGCTGACCGCTTGTGATTGGATCTCTCAGGATGGATGTCAATACCAGGTCTGAACAGTACAACTGACTGTTTGTAAATTCCCATAGTTCTTTGCACCATGGTCCCGGATGTTTGGTCTTACCAGCTGAGCTACTCTTCCGCAGCTGTTTCTGTCTGCGGTCAGTGCAGCTCTCACACAGCAGCTTGTTGTTGCCCATCAGCAGCTCCACGGAGGTGAACTGGTGGAGGCAGGACTGGATGGAGCACTCCTTGGAGCTCGGGGTGTAACTGTGGGACAGCGACTGGAAGGCCCCCTGGTGGTGCTGGTGATGGTGGAGGTTATCTCGTGACTGTGCCTCAACCTGCTCCTCTGGAGAACAGTGCATGGTGGAAGGTGAGCAGTCCCCAGAGCTAAAGCCCAGGTTGACTTTAGACACTGCAGTAACTAGCTGCTCTACAGTGCCACCCTGCCTCGTGGAGTACGACGATAAGGGGGAGGAGGCAGAGACGGGCGTAGGGGATGGAGTGAGGGTGGAAGTAGACGATGGGGTGGAACCGTGCCCGTGCCCATGGCTGGAGGAGAAGGTGCGTGGGGCCCACTCACTCTCTGAGGCCTCACTGTCAGCGTCATTACTACTGTCCTGAGCACCTGAGTCTCTTTCACTGCCGTCTGATAGGCTGCCGGCAGTGGCCATCTTGCAAACTGTGACACTTTGGGCCGATCCACCAGCGACCCCCTCCTCCTCTGGTCGCTCCGCACCACAGCCTGCTCCCTTCTCCTCCACAGAGCTCGATGCCCTTCTGGTCTGCTGCTTCTGAGGAAAAGAGAACAACAGACTCTGTTAATGTTACTTGTTGGCATCATATCTAAAAGATATTGATTTATTTTCCCAGTAAAGGTGTTTTGGCCACATACTGACTCAAGATTTATGTAATAATGTTTTGGCACAGCTCAACTGTGTAGAAAAGCTCCCACACTGCCAGTAAAGCCATGCAAAGGATTCTTGTGTAAAATATTTTCACAAATGGAGAGGAAGGGATGTATTGAATTCTGTGTCACTTATAAATCTACACTCCAGTGCGACCGCCACTTAGGATGTTTGAAAAACTGACACTGAAGAATGAAGAATCTGCTCTCTGAATATAAAGCTGCTTTCAGACATGCACTGAAGTCTGGACATTGTCTTGAAACTTTCTGGAGGGGCTGTGAGTTAGAATGCAAGTGTCCAAGTGAGTTGTTCCTGACATTTCCCAAAACTTGCAAAACTCCCTGCCCATTAGAAAATGTGGGAATGAGCCCATGTGAGAATGCAGCTGGAAAATGTATAAAAAAATTCCTCACGAGCGAGTGGCCGTGTCAATGACATTTCTAACGTGACGGATACAAAACTGAACTAAACAAACAAAACAAAAGCAAACAAAAACACATGATATCAGAAGCGGAATATATATGTTTTGTACTGCCTCCTGCGTGTTCTACTCAGACGCCACCCCTCGCCTGATTGTTCCAGACATGTTGTTGTGAGTGCATCTGACCTGGAAAGTCTCCTTCTACGATTTTCATATGTGAAAGGCAAACTCCAGAAAATGCCCAGACCCAATTTTCCTGACATTGTCTTGAGTTCATGTTTGAAAACAGCTTCGCACAGAGATACAAAAACACAGCGTGGTAAAACTGTTGTAATGACACATCCTCTGATGCTAAGCTAGGGCACATCATCAGTGATGTATCCTGAGGTCATTGGGTGTTTCTGACAACCTCACTCAGGCGACCCAGCTGAGGGCGATCAAGCCTGAACCTGTTGCTGCACTCTCCCACTGATCCGCTGTCTTGATCCAGAGCCACCTGGAGACTTTCTCTGCAGCCTCTGTGTAAATAGCCATCCTCCTCCTTTCGCCTGTGATGCAGAGTGCTGTGAAAGCTCTCTAGAGACTGTTCTGCTAAGCCTTGGCACTCTACCTCCACAAGCAAGCAACTTGTCCTCCAACCATGTCTGCGGCAGTCACTGACAAAGCCCTAGAACTTGTCCCTCTTTCATCCATTAAGCCTCCTCCATGCAATCCTCCCACGGCACGGTGAGCTCCAGCATAACAAACAAATACCCTTCTTTTAATTATTCTATGTTGCCCAGTCTGATGTGTCACATGTCAAATATATCTGCAGTTTAAATCCACTCGGAAGCTGGAAGTAACCATGGATGTGAAATACTTCAGAGGGTAAATATCACATTTGATAAATATTTACAAATAGGATGAGTCCTAACTTACCACTACCAGTGCCATGGTTTATTTGACACCATGTAATTCCCTTGTATTTTTATTATTACAATGTCACTATGAGGCTTTGTACTAATCTGTTTACAGACAGAGACATACATATTGCTACGATCCAGAAAGAGATTAACAACCAAACAAATCTAACAAGCAAACCAACAAGATGGGAAGCCTGACTGTAAATAGAAAAGATAAAAACCTTTTCATGGAACAGGGTGACCAGCAACTAGTGCACCAGTACATACTATACACACTCTGACCTGTCCACTAAGCTTCCTGGTGTTTCGGTTGGCAGAGTGCGCTGCAGAAAGAAGATGGTCAGCGTGAGGCGAGTGGGCGTCCTGCTCTCTGCTGCCCTTACCCAACCTGCCAGGATTGGATGGTTTTGACGTCTGAGGACAACAAAAACGCATTATGGGTGAAAACATCACATACAATCAATTCTACTATTTTTTCTTGAAAGCAGTTGAGACAGCTCACCCTCTCCTCTATGATGGGTAAGGAGATGTCTATGAAAGCCTCCTTTACTGTGGAGATCTGAAATAAAAATTGCATGTAAAGTCAGTGTATGCATTTATTATCTTTCTTTAAAGTCAAAAATTATAGGCAGCAGCGAACAATAAACGCCTGCTGCACATTTTCAACAGGTCTAAGAAGAAATGTGGGAAGCAGCTGTTTCTCTGATTTTTCCTCTCCAGCTCCACACCTGGTACTCTCTACCTTCAAGGATATTCTAGTTTGCATAGTGCCGCTTGCTTTGTTAACAACACACAGCTCAAACATCTTGTTGTAAACGCCCGCTGCAAACAGTCGGTGTTTGAGCTGGTCCTTGAAGTGCTTTTTTTTTATTCCGTTGATTTCTGTTTCATTTTCCTGACAGATTTTTGGTTGTTTTTTTGTCTGCATCAATGTGAGAAAAGGAAACTTAATGTTAGTTACGTTGAAATATGCAAATTCATGACTGTAATGTCAGTGCATCTGTACACACACACAGATATATATGCACATACTGTGAAACACAGAATTTATCGACCCTGCTGTGTTCAACAGACAACAATACTGACTATTCGGATGCTTTGTTATAATTCACCCACACACACTTACATGCTCACACTCTTCACACATAATTGTGTTTGTCAGCTCGCCTACAAAGATGCGGTCGACAAAGTTCATTTTCACCCCTTCTTTCCCGTATGCTGGTGGAAAAAAAAGACAGTTATAGATTAATTATAAATGTGAACAATGTTTGACTACTTATTACATGTTACCAATTTTACTTGTGATGATGATCATCAAACACTATAATTTAACTGACAATGTGACCATTCTTTCCACGAAATGCTATGAATCAATGGCGTTGACCAAATCAAGACTAAACAGCGTTGAGGCAGGAGTACTTATATATAAGAATTTAGAAAATAAATCATGTTAATTCTTAGGCATGTAAAAAGCAAAATACAGGCTAAAAGTCCGAGTTAAGAGTCATCAGACATTTAGCAGGTTTATACAACGATTTTCCTTGATTATTCATTTTTTAAATTTACATGTACAAGTCATAAGATCATCTAACAGACTGTTAGACTCTTCTCCATCAAAACCTATCCTGTGCCTGATCAATCTCTGAGCTGCATTTCCATTCACTGCCACAAGGTGGAACTGTTGATCTTGGTCTTCAGTGGAGTGCAGCATGCATGTGAACCTTTGACTTGGCGTTTGGTCTCATCGTCTGCTGTCTTCTCTGTGGGATTATTGAAGGCCTTCAGAATGCCTGCCCTCACCCGCTGGACACAAAAAAAGAGGCACACAGTTTAAGTGACATTCATTAATGCAAAAAATAATTATATGAATTAAAGGAAATTTCACTCTGCGAGTTTTACTGCATCTTTATAGAATTCTCTCTATTACATCCATTACTGACATATCACAGTATGGCCGATATCTGAGACTGACAGGTTTACCTATTATAAGCATCGTTTGTGTAAAATAATTATTGTGCTTGTCTAACTACATTAACATGTAAATCTAATAATTAACTGTGCATGTTTGTGTGTGTGTGGAGAAGTTGTTGACAGGGCCTACTTATTGAAGGTGACATGGTCAGTGAGTGTGTTGGCGAGGGAGCTGTGAAGAGGCACAGCCACAGTAAATCACCAATCAATAGATAATTGGCCATGGTCTGTGTCTGCGGTCGAAACCAGTCAGCCCCCATTGTCCCGGGACCCACGCACTGGACTGGCTATTTAGGTCAAAAAGCCCCATTAATCCCAGCCCGGCCAGTCTGCACCCCACTCAGCCAGCGCAGCCAAAACCAGGCGGAGGCTCTCCCACTAATTAATTACCAGTAACCCCCCATAAAGTAACACTGTGCACTGCCCCACACAGGCGGGGCTGTGGAAGGACGGCTGTGGGGCTGGGGGGAGGGTGGAGAGGGTTGCTGGTACAAGGGTGCAGGGGTGGAAACTAAAATTAAGACGGGTGAAGAAGGACAGTCCATGCCCTGAGAGAGTAAGACCTACCGTCTCAGCTAATTGGTGATAATTGACTGGGCCATATTAGCATATTTAGAACTCTGATACTAATGGCCAATCAACACAAACACTTAGGGCATCTAAAAGGTTGTTACCACCCAGTCTCCCTCTCTGACACTCTCAGACACACACACACACACAGGCCAGTGTGAGTATATTAATTGTTTTACATTTGTTTTACTTCATGATTCTATTCATGATCATAGTCTTTCTTTCTTTTTAATAGCATGTTATGGATGAATTGATGCGGGCTTGAAAACAACATGATTGTTTGCTCAATGCTGAGTGGAAACTTTACCGATAAAAATGCGTGTTCATTTAATAAATTATCACTGTATCTAAAATGCGACTGTATTTTTGAATGTGCTTGGTTGTATAAATGAATTTCTGAGTGAATGAATAGGGAAGGCCGTACCCCCTCCCTCTTCACCTTCTTGATTGGATTGGGAGACAGGCTGATGAGTATGTGCGCGTGTGTTTGTGTGTGTGCAGGAGGGGGCTGTGGGTGACCCTCAAGCACAATGGGACAGCCCTGGAGCTCATTCAGCAGCTGTGGGTTTCCCAAGATCACACAATGATGCCGGTCGTGCCACTTGCAAGTCCTCTAAGTGGCACAACTGTCAGCGTTCACAAGTTTGAATGGAAGCGGCGAGCCCAGCCTACGGCCCCTCCTGGGCCTGCGGCTGACCACTAAACACACCCGCTAACTTCTCCTCCTTGGTTCACGTAACCACTGGTGGGGCCAAAGGGGCCAGCTCTGCTGTGGGGTCTCCTAATTGCCCGTTGCAGGGTCGGGTTGGGGGGTGGGCGCTCTCTTTGCTTGCCAAAAAACATGGCACCATAAGGTTGAAACACAAAAACTGGCAAGCCGTGCTAAAAAAAAAAATCCACTGGGCAGTTTGAGTGCACACAGCCACCCACAAACACGCACGTCTTACATTATGATAACGAATGGCTTTTAATGTTAACTGGACAATACCATCATGACTGAACTTCATAAAACAAATAAATTGTTGAGGGTTGATGAGACTGACTACAAATGTCAGTGATAAGAATCACAGGTGAGATTATTGGTTTTAAAAAACAAAATACAGAAAAATAGATATACAGTCTGTATATGTTTGATAATTCTGCCAATTCATTATTGGTGCTTGCTCAGTGTAGTCCATAATAAACATGATGCTTTTGTCATCTATTTCATCCAACATTTAAAAATAACAAAAATAAATAAGGGATTTGCAGCGATGTTCATGTTCCTGTGAGTTTGTACTTATGATCAATAAGTAAGTGATTTGAGCTAAACGTGAAAATGTTCACTGAGTTCAAAGGTACTGATGGATGCTGAGGATGGTGGAGTTGTCTCCATTGGCATTACTTAAAAAAAAAAAAAATGGAAGCAAGTTCTAAAACCCTGGACTGCCTCAAGTTTATATTGACCTGACTTTGCATGGACAGCACATACAGTATCCTCATTAAAAATGCATCTGCAAAGAAACTTAAAATACCATCAAATCAGAGGAACCTTAAGGATCTCTCTGTCACAAAGAATGAAAGATTAACAAACTACTTACAGACTTTAAAAGGTGTTGATAGATCCCAACATGTTTTAAATGTCATCATTAAATGCATGCAGTGTGTAAACTGTGCACTGGATGTATGCTCACCTTAGTTTCCTCTACTCGTATGGAGTCCAGTAGGTAATGCAGAAGCTCCTGGCTGTCTTGTTGCTGGTAGCCCTTGAAACGTGGAGCTCTGAAACAAAATAAAAACAGATGAAAGTCAAGAACAACATAGATGCAGCAATTCTTGAAATGAGGAGAGGAATCGTAAACACTCTGTGCAGGGAGGAGACAGAAATGTGCAAATAATGTACTACAGCTATCATTTCTCATGTCTCATACACAGCATGTAAATATATTGCTATGGTTTTACAAAAAGAGCAAAATTCAAGAAACATCCTTCTCAATCCTTGAGAACAAAATAAATATTAATAGCCTTTGTTCCAGTGGGTTAACCCTGGACAATATAAAGGTTCGATACAAAGACAGAACACAGACAGAAATAATCAGTAGTTAAATCACAGCTCTACCATGCTCTTTATCAGCATTTATTTCCATGATAACTTGCTGAGCAATTTGTCAGGGCTGGATCGCCATCCTGGACATGAATGCCAGGGTGGTTAGAGGGGAGGCTCTCCTTGGGTCTGTCCCCTGGCCGTCCACAGTGAAGCAGATGTGAGGACAGATGCCAAGGCCAGATGGGCAGCCAAGGCTAGAGCCACCGCAACCTGTTGGGCCAAGCCAGCCACATAACCACAGGACAGGTTGGTCCGACAGGCACGGTACACAGTGAGGGGCCATGTTTGGGGTTAGAGGAGCCATCAGTCAAATGTTGATGATGTTGGGAGGTAGGGGGTCAACTCCATTAACAGCTCTATGAAGCCCTTTACTGGTACTTCATGACCAGTGGTCTTCAGGGTCCATAATTAATGGATCGTCTGTCACTTTGGCAATTAATATTGGTGGGTAAACAAAAAGTCTGTCCAAACTACTGGGCAGATTACCAAAAACCTTGGAGGGATGAGGTATGGGTCAGGTAAGAACACGTTACATTTTGGTGTGGATCTGCATAAGGGGTGGATCCAGGAATTCCTTTATCCATTTCTTTAATATTGAGAGATGTTAAAATTAAAAATTACATTTTTACCTAATTTGTTAATAAAACTCTTATAACACGTTTACAGTCAAATATTTGCTCCTGACTAATGGTTGTGCATTTCAACCCTTATTTACAAGCAGAGAATGATAATTACTTGATTAGCACCAAAACAATTTGGAGATCTGAGGTAGATCAGTTATGCTTTATCCAGCCTCACTGTGATTACATAATACCTAAGCAATATATCGGTATATAGTATATTTGTTATATTTCTATTGATGAAATGTATATATTGATAATCATTGATATTGTTTCTTTTTTGATATTTCATTCATAAGCCTAGTTAAAAATGTAATTCATATAAAATCTATCTTTGAGACAAGCTGCCAAAAATGGACGTCCAAGGCTCGGGGAGAGACGGCCAACCACCTGCCCTCAACACAGGTTATAACCAGGAGGTCTGGAGGATCCTAATGCCCCCCCCCCCCCCCACATGCTGACACGATCTCTGTCTCTTATGCCCTGTTCGTGCAGACACATGGAGAGGGTTGGATGGAGGGATGGGGAGCACATATGCCATTTATTCGCCGGCTCTAAAAGTGAACAGCATGTGAAGGAATGTCTCCCTCTTGTCCCGCTGACTGTATGTATCCCACGAAAGAGAAATTTACACACACAGTGAATTATAAAGCAAACAGAGATGAAATGAGTGAAACAGGGAGAAAAAAAAAGGAAAAACAGAAGCAGAATGAATGAAAAAGCTTGGTTGGGATCAGTGGGAATGAGGAGGTCTGGAAGCTCATCCCTGTGGAGAGAAGCAGAAGGGCCCTGTAGCACTGCTCGCAATCTGGCCCATGCAAACAGCTGCGGTGTTAACACAATTAATAGCCGGATGAGTTAGTACCAGACACAAGACCACACAAGACCACACAAGCCCCTCCTCAAAAACACACACGAATGAACAAAACATTGTACCCGCACAACAGTTCACAAAATAAATCCATCCAACATTTACTCACTTACAGGCATGAACTATAAAAATATGACAAACAATATGTTCATACTTTTTTTTTATAAATAGTGGCATGTGCTGGGCATATCTAACTAAGTCTGTACACCCATATGTAAAAGGGAAAAACATGCACTCAAATTTCAAGTTTATTAATTTCTGGTTTGAATCAATACAAGAGACTACTTTTGACAAAATAAGAAAAAAAACACTGTTAACCGCTGTTACATTTTCCTCGATTTACCAACAATAAAACCATTACAATTTTTCGACCAATTATGAAGAGTGTGAGTAAGTGTGCGATGACAGTCGGCAGAAGAAAACATCAACTTCAGATAAAATCATGTGGTGAGTGACGTATCTAAATGTTTGAATTTGAGTAATTCGAAATTGACATTGGTAACCAATGACGACATCAGTAACCAGTGACCTCATTTGTATCTCACCCAACGGAGACATGCCAGGAAATAAATAATAGATTATGAATAGTAAAAGGTGTGACAATAGGGATTTCATGACACCAGAAATGACAGCACACATGCACACACATGAGTTGTGGTGACCTGTTGCTGCATCCAGACTTTCTATCCTTCCATCCATTAGTTATACTGCTTATCCTTTTGAGGGTTGCAGTGGGGCTGGAGCCAATTCCAGTGAAAGGCAGGGTACACCCAGGACAGCGTGTGGTTAAATGCTTCTGAGTGGCCTTTTTGTCCAATGTATGCATTAGACATGAATGGAGAGCACAAATTAGTAATTTACTTAATACAGACAAACTGTACGGAGACTATGAACCCAGACTGGGTGAAAATGGGTGAACAACTATATTACCATGTAATTAAATTATGTTTTCCCCAGATGAGCTTAGACTGCAGACTGGGACCCTCCCTGGCACCAGATAGAGTGTGGTGCAGACCATCCAACCCACATAGCTTGGCACGAGTGTGAGCACAGACCAGACCACTTTCAAGGGCCGGAGGAGCAGAGGAGGCAGGCTGTGGGGTACTCAGCTGGTAGAGGTCAAACACATGTGTACACACACGGAGAAACACACATACACTTCCACAAAACTGGGCTCGATCAGGCTCCAGTGTTGCACATAAGCACTTAGACGGACCTGATCGGAGCCAAAAAAGCTTTCATTAACCTGCCTGTCGACACAAACACTAGATTAGACAGTAAAAGAGAAATGGAAAAGCGCTGTCGCTCTCCTCGGGTCTCCGGCAGACCCAACCCTTCTGGAGTGACAAGAGCTAGCGGTGACAAGTAAGGATGACAGGCTACATTTTCAGAGTGTGGCCATCATAAAGGTCACTACAATGGAGAGAAATGTCCCAGTACACAGGAGCAGTTCTTGACCCTGTCATTTCAACTCAAAGCTTAAGACATGGCTGAAAGTGGACGAGCTGCTGTGTGGAGGAGTCTAAGAGAGAAATATAGAAAAGCTCAGGCTCGTTCAGAATGCAGCTGCAATCAATCACACTTTATGGATGTTAATATATCGGTGAATGAGACCTAAACTGAATTTTCTAAATAAACATAATAGCTTTCACAGTCCAGTTACATCTGAAGAGCCATTCATCGTTACAGAGAGGTAATAAAAACAAACTGAATGGTCAAAATTGTCATATTTCTATTGAATCTCAAGACCAACACACAATATGAACTCATGCATTGAGTAACATGCAAGAAAATATTCCAGCTGTTGTCAGAGCTGCCAGATTTCGTCTAAATCTTTATAACAAGCAGAATTGATTGAGACAGTATCACTAGTAAGAAAATTAAGATTTTGTGATGTCTTTCATCTTAAAGTACACTGTCACTCAGCGGAGAGCGTACCTCCACCAAAGCCCAACAGTAACCACATTCAATTTAGTCAGATCAAATTAGAGCAAACTCTACACACTCAAAAATATCAGAATACAGTGCTTTACAGTACAGTTTAATGCCATTGACCCATTCACACACACTTTCATACAGTGCATCTATTAGCAGCACTATTTCTATGAGGGGCAATTCTGGGTTTAGTATCTTGCCCAAGGAAACGTGGGATGGGGAAGACTGGGATCGAGCTGCGACCTTCTGCTTCAAGATTTTCTAAGAAAATAAGAAAAGCTGAAAACAGAATAGAATTGTGTGTATTTTTTTCAAATAGAACTTTTTTAATAGCTGTTGCATATCACAGTCTATTTGAGAAGCCAACACATTGTTCATCTGGAGTTTGAGATTCTTTTACATCAAAACATTTTTTTTACCTGCTGCTCTTTTCCTCCTCAGCGCTGCTCTCAATGAAACTACGCTTTTTGAGAAACAAACAAGGTCAAAGAGAAACAGAGGCCACTGGGGAATTCTTGGCAAAAGATGCTAAAAGCATTTTGTCACTCGTTATTGACTTGGATGTTTACAGCTCCAGTGAATATCTTAAGATTAAAACTGTAAAAAAGTGATCAACACCTTTTCTTTCTATCGTTCTCGACAAATCAATTTGAAACTGTGTCTGATTTAATTTTTGTCGATTGTCATTATCAAACCAGCTCTATATCTGTGACTTTAATTTTAGGAAACTGCTGACAAATATTCAAAAGGCACGTATCACATTTTCTTAGTACATTTTGAAGCACCAATTTTTACATTTACTATAAGGAGGATCTACAAAACTATTACAAACTGGCCTTAAAAAGTGGCCCCTTGTGGTACCATATGGATAATAGTCATATCTCTATTCAAATGCATGTCATGTAGGATAGATTAACCCTACTTGAAAAACCATGCATGAGTGTATAAAGGTGTGAGTGATGCTTGCTGTCTGAACGCACAATTGCCTGCATGTGTTCTGTACGCTTAGGTGGTACCAGGTGAGGTGGCAGCCCTTACACACATGCACGCATACACACAGACACACACAGCCTGATGAAAGCTTGGTACCAGAATAACTTTCAAAGCCATACCAGAGATGTACTCAGTCATCCAACATTAAACTCTCTGGTCACCCACCTGCACTTCAACAGTGCACAACACCCCCACCACCCCATCACTATCTCACATACACACACATTGGGTGGACCCAACCAGCAGTGCTCAAAGAAGAATTCAGCCGACCAAACATTCACATTGTTCATAAAAGAGAGAAAACCAACTGCCCAGTACACAAAAGTGAGGCCGTGATTCTGCCTGTCACACAGCTTGTTAGACCTTGTGGTGGATCAAACATGACACAGGTGGTACAGCAGTGTGGCAAGTAGCAGAAAGAGCTACAAATACCTAGCTGCTGCTCTTTATTTACCATGGTCCACTGCTGTATGTTGAGATTAAAGTGTGTGAAAGGCATTCAGCATGCGACCAGGTGCTACCTGGGTCTGGCTGGTTCAAATGGTCACTGCCACATTGAGGGGATGTAAAGCTGAGGCTCCTCTATTATGTGTTGCTGTTGTTATGATGGGGAACTGCAATGGCACAGTTTGATGACTTCATTGACCATGAGGTAAAATATGTGCATACAGATTCTGGGTTTTCTACAAGGATATGAAGGAACAGGCCAGTGGGAAAAAGCAACCAGCTGGTGTCCGGGGGCATGAACTTCCAGAGGAAAAAAATAAATGCCAATACTTCTTCATACACACTGATGTTAATTAAGACACATGCAAACATGCAGTGAATTATTTAAAAGGAAAATAAGGAGTAGGAAAATTAAGAATGAACATTCACTTTGTTTCATACAAAGCAGAAGGAAATGATTCAGTGACAAGATAAACTAAATATAAGGCACGAAAAAAATGTATGCTTTGAAAAACCAAAACCTTTTAAATCATACATATGTTACTGCAGGAAGCTACATATTTACTTTACAGAACATGATTTGGAGAATCTGACGTAACTAACTAATGTTCAATGAATCAGTATCAGTCCTCTCTGCTGCTAAGACTGGTACCACTGTAACGGGGGGGAGGTTTGTCTAGAGTTGAACCATATTCAAGGCAAACGTCTTGGTATTGGCTTTATCACTACACTGTTGGTAAAACATGTCTCCTGCACACTGCCACCGAACTGTTTCTAACACATTTCTACATGTTTGTTGTAGGTAGTTTGATTAAGTTCTTAATCTGTCTCTTACTTTTATGGCAAAAAAACAAAGAAGCCTAGTTGTTGTCAATTGAAGAATCAAAGCAAACTCAAAATATGTCTTCGTATTTATTATGACCTGTTATGCGTATGTAACAGGAAATTTGAATTTAAAGGTACAGTGTATAGAATTTAGTGATATCTACTGTTGAAATTGCATGTTGCAGCTGAACACCACTCACCTCACCCTCTCCTTCGAAACATGAAAAAGAACCTGTGGCAGCTTCAGTTGTCTTAAAGTGTTGTAAAAAACATGGTGGCCTCCGTAGAGAGGGTTTTATGTACATATTTCTACATAATTCTTTTTCCAGATTCATATAAGGTCATTGTGACCTTTGACCACTGAAATGTAATCACTTTATATTTGAGTCCAAGTGACAACTGATCAAAAGTTGAAGAAATTCCCTTAAGTATTGAGATATGTGTTGAGATATCACATTCAAAAGGCCGAAACATGTCTTTTTAAGACCTCTGTGACATTTACCTTTGACCACCGAAATGATCAGTGAAATGATCAGACAAGTAAACATGTGGGCCAAATTTGAATGAATTTCCATGAGATGTTTCTGGAATATTATATTCACAAGGCAAAACAAATGTTTAAGAGGTCACAGTGACCTCTGACCTTTAAACACCAAATTCTAATTAGGTCATCCATGAGTCAAAGTGAATTGTGCCAGATTCCTGTTGACTTCCTACTGTTTAACCCTTTCCAATTAATGCCGCAGGTATCATCCACACTTAAATCTATGCATTAAGATTTTCAATACATGAACACTGACAAATAACAGGATCTATGGTGAAAAGAAGTATAAAGAGTAGTGCCTTACTTCTGACAGAGCTGGTTGAAAAGGATCTTGGGATTGACGTGGCCTTTCCCTGGTTCTTTCATGGTCTGGAGGAAGAGAAACATGGCTGCCGTCAGGGGCTCTGGATTGGGCAGTGTTACTGTCAAGAGACTCTGGAAGACGTGGAGACAAAATTAAGAAAAATGGATATTAAATTGGATACTATGGCAGGAATTACAAACCATTAATCATGACTTGTTTCCTAAATGTGAGAAATGAGTTGGTGTTCAAAGTGAGGTTTCAATTTTACCTACTGATACATATTGTAGAACTAAAATATACAGTCGCAAAAACTACCGAATGCAACATATGTTAATTTATTCATTCATTGGGCACCCTACAGTAAATAATAAGTGTTTTTCCTCTCTGTGGTCTGGTTAAATAAGACTAAACATTGAGAAGAAGACAATACATTGTTGAAAACTCTACCAGATTGGTGTCCACAGGGGGGCAGATCCTCAGCTTGTACCCTTTCTCCTTCACTTCCTGGATGAGCTCAATGAGCATGTGTGTCTGGGATAAATTCTGTGGGGATAGAATAATATTATTTTAATGGTGTCTCGAAACATATGCATCATAATGCATTAACAATGCATTGAATGGCATTGGGAAAGGGTATTCAGGTATGATAAAAGACTGAAGTTCAAAAATCAGAGGAGAATAAAACTGGTCATATACACTCACCGACCAGTTTATTAGGCACACCTGTTCAATTGCTTGTTAACACAAATAGCTAATCAGCCAATCACATTGCAGCAGCTCAATGCATTTAGGCATCTAGACCTGGTGAAGACGACATGCTAAAGTTCAAACCAAGCATCAGAATGGGGCAGAAAGGGGATTTAAGTGACTTTGAACGTGGCTGGTTGTTGGTGCCAGACGGGCTGGTCTGAGTATTTCAAAAACTGCTGATCTACTGGGATTTTTACGCACAACCTTCTCTAGGGTTTATAGAGAATGGTCCGAAAAAGAGAAAATATCCAGTGAGTGGCAGTTGTCTGGACGAAATTGCCTTGTTGATGTCAGAGGTCAGAGGAGAATGGGCAGAGTAGTTCAAGATGATAGAAAGGCAACAGTAACTCAAATAACCACTCGTTAAAACCAAGGTATGCAGAATTCCATCTCTGAACGCACAACACGTCGAACCTTGAAGCAGATGGGCTACAGCAGCAGAAGACCACACCGGGTGCCACTCCTGTCAGCTAAGAACAGGAAACTGAGGCTACAATTCACAGGCTCACCAAAATTGGACAATAGAAGATTGGAAAAAATGTTGCCTGGTCTGATGAGTCATAATTTCAGCTGCGACATTCAGATGGTAGGGTCAGAATTTGGCATAAACAACATGAAAGCATGGATCCATCCTGCCTTGTATCAACGGTTCAGGCTGGTGGTGGTGGTGTAATGGTGTGGGGGATATTTTCTTGGCACACTCTGGGCCCCTTAGTACCAATTGAGCATTGTTTAAACACCACAGCCTACCTGAGTATTGTTGCTGACCATGTCCATCCCTTTATGACCACAGTGTACCCATCTTCTGATGGCTACTTCCTGAAGGCTAATGCACCATGTAACAAAGCTCACATCATCTTTAACTGGTTTCTTGAAGATGACAATGAGTTCACTGTAGTCCAGTGGCCTCCACAGTCACCAGATCACAATCTAATAAAGCACCTTTAGGATGTGGTGGAACGGGAGATTCCCATCATGGATGTGCAGCCGACAAATCTGTAGCAACTGTGTGGTGCTATCATGTCAAAGTCATCAGAAGAATTAAGGCATTTCCGAAGGCAAAAGGGGATCTAACCCGGTACTGGCAAGGTGTACCTAATAAAGTGGCCGGTGGGTGTATACTGTCTATTTATCAAATAAAAAGTGCCATCAAATACAGGTACAACAAAGAACTTTTATAATCCTTTAAAGATAAGATACCATTACCATAATTATTCTGTGGCAATTCAATGGTCAATTAAAATATCCTTGTGGAAAGTTATCTACATTTTAATCAGAATTGAAAATCTTGTGGTGAATTCATTACTCTGAAAGAGGCCTTCAAATCCGTCTATGATCTGTGAGTTAGAAATGTAGAAATGAGAAGATCCTTGGTGAGGAGGTAGCCTGTAGCAGCCATTGTCCCTTCATGTTAGAGGAGCATCTTTTCCTTCGCTTTCAAGAGATATTTGTTTTGTCACATCCTGGCAATGAAGACAGTTGCTATGGAAAACACACAATGGAGCTGGCATTGTGAATGCAGACACAACTCATCCTTTGTCAATTATGTGTTTTCACTAGAAAGATTGCAATTTTCAAGGAAACAATACAAACAGACAAGGTGAGGGAGGGAAAAGCATGTAAAGCGCGCTCACTCGAATTTCAATCAACGAGGAAGGCCCTGAGGGTGATTAACAAAATGGAGGGAAAAAAACAGCTTCATTGTTGAAGAGGCATGTCAGTTTGCAGTCACCATGACACAACCAGAGAAAGACTGGGGAGGCTCTATAGCTGTGTTGTATGGTGAACATGCTCTGCACCAACTGAGTGCCACTCATGCATGGGCAGGTGAATGTGTCCAAGCCGGCACTGCTTTTACTGCTGCATTGAACATACTCCAAAATGATCTCAAGGTCTAACCTGTTTACAATCAGTCATTGTGAGAACATAATCTGGTTCGTATTGGTCAGACACCTCATAAGCACTGTGTGGGGAGTGTTTATGCTTTGTAAAGGCAAATGTATGCATATTGTCATGTTAGAATGGAAATCCCTGTGACTCATTAGGCTATCACAAAGTCTCTTGAGATAAAGCAAGGACTAGAAAGAAGGTTACCTTCAGTGAGAGATCCACTTAAAAATAACGTGATCATGCAGAAGATTTATAATGACAGATACAAGCAATTGTACCTACTTATGTTATCTCACAAGGTATTCATTCTGACTAAATGGTACTATGCAGCATCTATCTGCACATCCACAGTATGTAGTTAATGCAGAAATCTCTGTGTATGTGTCTTGCATATCTAGAGAACTCTTCATCTTATCAGCTTTACACTCGCCATGTGTATTGTTAAAGGCCTGAGGACATGGGGTTGGTTTGGGCCCACACAATAATCTTTGTCCCACAAGATCATTTTGATAATTTGATTTGTCGTTCGCAGGTGTCGCAGGTGCTGATCTCTTTCATGTCAGCTTAATTAAAGAGATTTTATTTAGAAAAGTTGTGAACTTGGGTCTGAAGACCAGCCGACATGCAATTTTGAAGAAAAACTCCAGTTAAGTATATTATTTAAACTTATATCTAAACAACAGACGTAAACAGTAAATAAATTCAGTTTCATCTTCTACGATAAAATCATTGCAAAAAAAACAATATCTGATTGATATTGGATGCATAAGGTCTTCATTAAAGATTAACCAGGTTAGATGATTGCAAGTTTTTCTAACTTCACTCTGCACCATGCAAGCTTAAGTGTCCTTGGGCAAGATGCTCAACCCTGAATTGCCCCCTCATAGAGAAAAACTGCTGCTAATAGATGCACTGTGTGTGTGTATGGGTGAATGGCAAATTATACTGTAAAGTGCTTTAAGAGGTCATCAAGACAAGAAAAGCGCTGTATAAATACAAACCACATAAATAAAAAACAATTTACCATTGACTGTTTATAAAAGGCTCTGCACAACATGTACAGCAAGCAAAACCTGTGACAGTATGTTGTAAACATCACTAATGAAAAAGAATAATTCTGAAGTAGCTCCGGAACATGACCACAGGCCAAGCAAAGTACATCCCAAACAGGCAGGTTCTGAACAGCCACTGCACTATTATTTCATCATGCATAACAAAAATATGAATGCTGTTTTTCCCTGTTACTGTTCCTTTTTTATTATTGCACGACCAGAAAACAATAATAATAATAATAATGATGTTTGAACAGTTAGTAATACCAACCTGCATGACCGCATTGAAGAAGCAGGTGTTGCCAAGGTTATTGATGCCTTTGACAGGAACCAAGGTGTTGTTGATGGTTGGATTCTTGCCTCTGGGTGGCTCAGAATAATCTGATGGTTCCTCTCGCAGCTTGATGATCTTGGGTGATGCTGCTAGAACACAGTAGCACAGATGCAGGATCTCAAAAACCATGTATATTGGTAAAAAGCAGCAAAAGACAACAGTGTAGCCTTGAAGTTAGAGATACGTTTTGAGATTACGGTGTGAGGGAAATCTCTGCAACTGACAAATGATTCAATTTCTAAACTCTGTTTTCAATTGTATAGTTATTTTTGGCCACGACTTGGCAGCCGAGCCTGAAGCTGCAGCTGAGATGGTGGCTGGGTTGTCAATTTGGTTGAGATTGAGGGTGGAAGTCGACCTTGCAGCTGGAAGAATTTCAGCTTCCCTTAAAAATGGGATTGCAGCTCGACTCAGAAAAAAAAGGGGCTTGGCCTTGAAGCTAACGGGCTGGGAGCAGGCTGCTGGGATGGCAGCTGGAAGGAAAGCTGGGTCATTTGGGGAAGCAGATGACAGCTGTAGAAGTTTCCGCTGGTTAGTGAGGGAGGGGTGGGGGCAGGGGTTGGAGAGAAGATTCTCCAGAGCCAGCTGTTTGTCCCGATCACCAATGAAAACTAACCTAAACAGCAACTAAGACACAGATGGTCCAAAGCTTACGGTGTCATACAGTGTGCTTAGGCAGACTAGAGTAGGTACTGTAGCTGTGTGATGGCGTGCCAGCAGCTAACAACAAAGCTAACACCACAATGACTCAATAACAATAATTCTTTACTACCATGTGATAGCAACTACTGATTCAAGAAGTGGACATTAGATCTGAAGAGGTTAAATCTTTCATGCAGTTTGTTTAGTTAAAAAAGAATGAAGTGTATTCAGTCTACAGCCTGAACTATCAGCATGTACCGAGACAGGTTTGGATAAGACAGACACTGAACCTTTGTGGCAACAACAGATAACAGATACTTTTAATTTTCCTACACCGCATTATGCCATGGAGGTAAGAAGAGATCTACTGAAGCTTTGAGCAGTGTTATAACATGCAAACAAAAACTATAGAATACAGAGGTGATGTTTCTCTGACCCTAGAGTAATTTAATACAGAGTCTCTATGACTATAGTCACATACTGAAAAAAACAGCACTTGAAGTACAACTGAGTTTGGAGAACAAGTAGAAATATGTAATTAGCTGCAAAAAGGAGGTTATGTTTTCGTATATGTTTGTTTGTTTGGTATTTAGCAGGACACAAACTACGGGACAGACTACGTTACTATCTGACTGATTTGACTTCATTGGTAGGAGGGGATTTGATTTTGTTAAGGATGCAACATTGCGTATTCTTGTTAACATTGAATAGACTACATTTTTTTGGTTCAGAGCAATGTACTAAGCGGAGCCTTTTTTAATGTTTATGTGATGTAGGTTACAACAATATTCCCACTTCACCTTGAATTATTATTGTTTTCATTGTAAATGGATTTCTTTCAGCAGCAGTCTCTAAAATATCACATGTTGGGGCATCCTTGAATACACGAGCATGAAAGTTTACACTGTGTAGCTGCTCCACTGCAACAAGATACCCAAGTCACTATGAAAAAGCCTATGGTTCTTTAATACACTAAAGAAAATGTCAGTCATGGTAATGCATGTACAATGATACAAATGCCATCATTGTCTTAAATGATACAATGAGATTTGTATTATATAGTAAATAAAATATAATATATATTTTTTTTATTAATATGTATTTTGTTCTGATAGCCAATCATATGGTGCATGTAATGATGCCCTAGGCCTATCCTATACTGGTAAACAAAGTGTTCGTCCATGAGCACTTCACCCACAAGCCAGTCAAGAGAGCAGGCTGACAGAGAGATCACTGGCCAGGACCCGCTTATGTCCGAGCAAAAGAAATTCAATTGACCCGTAAACCATCATAACAACCTGCACTTTTACTCTCACCATTCTGCTCCTGAACACAAAAACGACCTTGCCTTCGCACATATTCCATTCACAGAGTCACTCCTTGTGCATAACACATTCATTGGAAAGTCAATTCAACCTACAGCTTTTCCTCCTCAAGGCCAAGGACGTCAGCGTGATGGTCTGAGCCTGTGGAATGTGAACCTTGGGCTTTTCACTCATGGACTGGTAATTTACATGTTAGACATTTAAACATTTTCTTTCAATCAACTGCCACTCTAAAAAGGTGTGAAAGTCAAAGCGTAACTCTGTCAAACTGATTAGTTTTGCTTTGAATTGAAATTGCTTTAGCTGCAAAGAGATTGAACACTGAGATGTGAAGAGAGCAGCGTCCTGTCCTTTGTGCTCTAGGTTTGGGATCGAGGAGGCAAGGGCGAGGTTCAGCTTGCCGGGACAACATGCTGTTGTGGCACTCCACCCAGTGGTGCTAAATACATCTGGCCCTCCACACTGGCAACATCTGGAGGCCTATTTCCATCCTCAATATGTAGCCATAAGGGAGTTCCCATATGTCAACACACAAAATGCATGGACAAGTGGAGATGGGGAAAAGACTGTACCCCCCCCACTCAGGAACAAACAAACTGTGTATTATCAGATTTGGTGTGAGACTGGGAAGGTGTGAAAACTTACACAAGTGCAGACAACTGAGCTAAAAGGAAAGTAACTGAGAGAAAGACAGAGTGCATTCATGAATGTGTGTGTCTACTTGTTGTGGTGTTTTTGAGCAGAGACCCAAAATCAACAGACTTAATGCAACTCAAGTCGGAGAGCTATGTCTGACACTTAAGTTAAGAGGCAGCAGAGGAATGAGGAAACTAACTGGGCGGAATGGGGATGCCGACGGACACACTCTGCATCTGGGACCATCACCCAAGGTAAACAATGTTCAGGGAGCCATCTGGTTAAGAACGGGGATGGGGGGGCGGAAGAGGGCAGTGGAGGGGGGGGCAGTGGGTGGAGGAAAGGGTTGCAACGAGCACAAGCATATGGAAAAGCAGATTTTTCCTCTCCCTGCAGCAGTCAGTGAAGGCAAATGTCAGCATGCGCTGCGTCCACGCTTGACTGTGCTGCACTCGGCACCACCACCTGGCCCTCCTTGCTCAGCCACCGAGTATGGGCAGCAGTGACACTGCGGAGCCTTTCCCCAGGGTAGGAGGAAAAGCATCACGGTGCTCAGGCTCATCCCCATGCATGCATGTACACCAACACCTCCTGCACTCCCTGCTCTTTTTCACACAAGAGATACACAAAGAAACATGGGACTTGTTTACTTTCACTGAGAACAGAACTAGAGCACTTCAAAAAGAGAAAAAACAAGCAAGTTTAGGTATATTATAGATTATTGTGTTGTGCATTTGTTTTTTGACATTCTGTCAAGCTGACGCAAGGTCAACACTAGACTTCATGAAAAAAATAACAACCTCATAAAACATGTCATAATAATAACAAAATGCATTCTTTATGCTTATTGTAAAAGACTTTACTGATATAATCAACACAAAAACAAGGATGAGAAAAAATACATTTTTATGGCCTTCTTCATGTGGTTTACAGTTGGGCTGAGAGTATGAAATTGTATGGCCAGTGGGCAGTGCAGCAATGTGGAGGGTCAGCTCCCTTCATGCAGAGCAAGCAGTCAAGAGGAAGGCCAGGCAACACCAAATGTCTTATTAATTCGCTAATTTGTTGTGACTGCAGGGCATGAAAAGCCTGTTTCCTTGCCATCTGAGGCCAAGAGAACCCAGTGCCATGTTACTTACAGACACACAAACACACTAATGTATACACAAAGCTTTTGCTACCCACTATCTGGCCTACTTTCATGTGCGGTGGTGGGAATTAAGACAAAATCACCCTTGATTACCTCCATGAACGCACCACCAGGGGACAAGCAGCTTCCTGGCTACTGACTCAGCTAAGCTAAACTGACAGTATACTAAAGACTGTGGTTTCCAAAAAATCAACAACCAGAGGCAAGAAACCAGGTGATGATACATGAAACACTATACCCTCCACTTCAGCCTTTCACCCAGGTCTCTGAGAGGAGAAGTCAACAGAGATGTCAGTCCTGGAAATTTTGAGCCCAGGAGCAAACAAGACACAGGGTTCATCCAAACAATTTTTCCTGTCCCGATACTGATACCTGGTCTTGTATCATCAGCTGATAATTATCAGCTGATGCTCAATAATTTATCATTATAATTAATAAGTGCACAAATATCTTGGTAACAAACTTGATTAAGATAGAAATGTTTTATTATTGAGTATACATTTATTTCATTTCAGAGGATTACTGAGTCCGACTTATGACAGTTGGTGCAGATAACCGACTTCAGTAGGGATCATTTTGTATCTGTATGATTTCATTTTTTATTTCTGAATATTAATTAAGAAGGGAGGATAAATAGTTTACAGCTTTACCTTGTGTTCTCTATCTCTATATCTATCCATCTCTGAGACTAGTGAGGTCAACCCTCACCAAAATGATACTACTTTGTCACATGGTGCGCACTCTCCTTTAAGGGAAGGACAGAAGTTAAAAAATATGTCTGGTTGGTCAAGCCCCGCATCTCAATCCTTCCCCATTGCAATATGACCCAGGCACACCTGGTCACCCAAACACCTCACGAACACCTTCTCGTCCACTGTGCAGTGGACAATCAAATGCGCCTTGCACTTACTTAGATTTGGTGCATTCAGTGTGTGTCTAACTAAAGCTACACCATGTTATTAACTGAAATGCTTCAGCTCTCATCTGAGGCTTCTTCAGATTCACTTGGTTTTGTCGATTAAGAACAGATTTGCCACACTCTGTAGTATTCTGCTCCCTCCGTGCTATATTGTTACTCCTCCTATAAATGTAGGGGTCCACCAGCGCACTGCTTACATATGATATTGAACGCACAAGCAGATATAAACAAAGAATAACATAAACTTCAATTTAATAGATCAACCATATTTGTCACACTTAATCCAGCTATTTTGTCAGCATCAGACCAATGTTCAGTGGTAGTATCAGAGGGGCGCACCACTACTGAGAACACAGACACACGTGTGCGTGACCTCACAATCAAAGAGCCGTAGTACATACATTTGACTAATGACGTAAGGTGCCTGGAACAGCACTTTGAAGGGACATACAAGTATTTTGCCAGAACCTAATTGGAAACACTTTACATTACAAAATTATCATTAATAATGTTGAATTAACATTTTACATGAGTCTAGTCTAAGTTATTTTCCTTAGTAAAGACAATTGAGAAAATTATTTAGACTGAGATAATTCATTACGATTGAGCTACCATACGGGCTTAAAAATAATATTAGTCACTCTTTTTCTGATTTATTTGAGGAAGAAAAAGGTGATATATGTTTACAAAAATAAAAACATTTTTGGAATAACAATATTCATAAACTATAAAAAGTATACTGTATGTCTTCATATTCATAAGACAGTGGTAATCAAATTTTAAAATGAACCTATAGCTTCAAAATGAAGGTGAGTTTTTGATGATTTAAATTGTATAAATAAAATACGTATGATAATAAAAAATTCCACATCAACACAATGATACAGTAAGATTGAGAATCAGAACAATAAGTAACATTAAAAACAAGAAAGAATTGACAGAAACAAGCTCCGACATCTATTCAGAAGCAACATTTTAATTTGCTCCACAAAGACTCCCCAGCTGTGTTACAAGCTGAAGTCTAGCTCTCTGAGGTCAATTAGCTTTTTACTGGGACTCTGGTACTTGAGCTGAAGGCCTTGATGGTGAGAGAGCACAGTTAATCGACTTTCTTTCTTCCTTGAGCTGTTGTTGTACAAGATTATTATGGATTCTGAAAAAAATACTTGCTGGCCCTCTTTTGTGGTTGGGGTCTATGGGAAAAACAGAGCACAACAGCTGGCCTTCACACTGAAATGCAATTTCTCAAGCTTTTCCAGACAACAACCACCTATTCCTCTGCAACAGTGGCTGCCCACTACTATACCTATTTGGCAGACCGGTGTGGAACAGTTAGGTGGTGAGAAAGGTGACAGGTAATTTAATAAGGTGGCTGTAATGAAAGTAGCAACTGTCCAGCTCACCAGGGTGTTTCCTAACAACAGTGGATCCCTAATTGCTAGATGATAAAAACAGCATTACTGGGAAAACGACAAGGAACATAGTAATGGTGAGAGTGTCAACCAACTTCAGATACAAATTTTCAATAGACATGTCAGGATTAAGCAGTTTTACGATAACCGCGGTTTGATAACGTCACAATTTCATAACCGTAAGAATTGTAAAAACTACGATATCTAACTGCCTCTTGCGAGTCACGTGTGTGTGTGCGCTGCACAGTGAAATCTTTCGCCAGTCACGTTTTGTGTGCGCAAGCCGTTAGTTGAGAAGAGGAAACTGACTTAACGGCCTTATTTCCACCAACGCTGGACAAACAACTTCATCAGAGGAGTTCACAGGGAGAGGTGAAAGCCTTGTTTACTTTCGGTTTCTGACCAGGTGTGTGTGTGTGTGTGTGTGTGTGTGTGTGTGTGTGTGTGTGTGCGTGCCAGGAGCTGCTATAGTATCAATAATTGTGAAAACCGTGAAGCCGTGATATTTCCTCGGATAATTGTGGCACCAAAATGTTCGTATCGTGACATCCCTAGCTTCAATCAACTTCTTGTACTCTTGGAGAGCTCAGCACTTAATTATGAGTTATTTAACTATGGCAGCATGATTATTATTACTGAAACTTTAATGTAAAAAGCCAGAAAATGAGATAGTAATAAAATGTGACATTATAAACAACATTAAGAGAAAACAGTATCTGCTTGAGTTGAACATTTGTTCCAACATTTTGCGTATGTGTATCTGTGAGTGTGTGTGGGTCCACTGAGAGTTTGTGCGTTCCAGCTGTTAGGATTTAGTTGCTCTGACTTGTTGAGGACCCTGGCTCTCACTAGTGCAGCGCACAGGCCCAGAGGTGGTGAAACGTACAGCAGCACGGCGGGGGGAAGCAAGGGACAGAAACAGATAATGATGGAAAGACAAAGAAGGACAGAACAGAGGCTGTACCCCACACAGCTGCTCTTGTTCTTCAGGGAACCCAGCCGGGAAGCGTCACTCAGGCGCCTAATTCCTTTAATGTGTGCACTCATGCGACTTGCAGGGTGAGGATGAAGGGGGTGGGGGGCTGCTGCAGTGTATATCCCACAACTCTGCGGCCATGGCTGAGACACTAAGGGTGGACAAGCCTGACTGGGCCTGGGTGGTTGGCCTCTGGCCACAGGCAGCTAGGCACTGGGCAGGGGGCTAAGCTGAGGCAGCCAGTGAGACTGAAAGTGATGAGACCCACCACCCTGTTCAGCTACAGCCTGTTGAGAGGCCTCTCAGCACTCCAGCACAAACTACGAGCGGTACAGCAACAGAAGGTGTATGCATGTGTGTTGAAGTACAGTGAGGGGGTGGGGGTGTAAAATATATATATGGTTGACTGACTAGGGGAGGAGGGCTCAGGTGGTCTGAGTAGGGTGAAAGTACATGAGGCTACGACAAAACAAAAATTCTCTTCAAACTCAAATTCTTCACGAAACCCTGGTAAATCAAGCAGAAGAAGCTACAGTATATAAAAAATAAATCACGCCTGTAATGCAGGGTGTTCTCAAGCCATCACACTCAATGTAGAAACAGCATATACATACATATGTATCAGGTTGAGCTGCAGTGTGAAGTCCTGTACTTCTAATGACCTAAGCCACCAGGGGGAGCAGGTGTACTGCTGTCAACTCCTGGTGTGTAGGTGATTCAATGACAATCATCAACGTGAACCTTTGTGACCTGGGGCCTGTTAATACAAAGTGAATTCAACATATCCAGGATATCTTTTCCATATCCGGGTGAACTTAACCTAACAATCGCAATCAGGCTTAGGATCTCATCAAGATCTGAGCGGGTGCAGATGAAAGGGGTGTGTTTACTGCATAAGACCAATCACAGGTATGGACAAGTAAACTGACAGCAGAGCTGATTAGTTTACAACGAGGAGCAAACGAATACATTAGTAAAATACGAGGAGATCAAACACATTATCCAGACTAAAAGAAACACAGTTAGAGCTGCTAAATGCAGAAAGGACAGCTGGTAGAACATCTCTGATTGTGTGAATGTGTCAGTGAAGGAGTCCCCAATGACATTTGGGAAAGAATATATTCATGACCACGATATAATAACTCAGGGTCACTGTTCTTTACTAACAAGACCTGTCGAACTGAACTGAACAAGCCTCTTGATGAGAGATGAACGTTTCACTTAATCACATAATGTAGCCTCTATAATGGGCTTTAGTTTAGTTTGACACACACTATCTGCACTGACTCTGAGGACACACTGTGGTGGAACCATTTGTAATTACTAGTCAATAAAAACATATGGACCTATTTTCGTGCGCCATGAAAGTGACTGTGTGCATCTCGGTGACAGGATGCGCCTGGTGCATCTGGAAATAGGGAGAGATTGAGATGTACTGGGTATGTTAGCAGCGGGCGCTGACTTAACAAACCAGACACTGTTTTAAACTTCCCTTATCCTTCCCTTTAAGGAGAGTGTGCACAGTGTAGTGTCATTTTGGTGAGTGCTGACTGCATGAGTCTCAGAGAGAGAGAGGGGAGGGAGGGATGGGGGGCCGTCAAGAAGTAAGTCTGGAAACTATCTATCCCCCATTCCAAATAAATATTTAATTTCACCTACTTAAAGAGAGGAATAAAAGTACAAAACTATGTCTGGTTATTCCACCACGAACACACGCAGTGCATCAATACATACCCCGATAACCGCAAATCATGCTTCATAGTACAGGCCTTTGGTAAGTCACTTCATCAGTATCACTTTGTTCAACACCCATTGATTTGACGATAAAAAGATGAGCAGGAGCCGTCACATGAGTAGTCTGGTATGCAGTCGTGGTGTTATTGCGTTTCCAGCCTCTGGTGAAAAGTACCTCTCCACTTCACTTTCTACTATTATCACATTATATTCTCGATGTGTCTGTTGTATCTCGGATACAAAAGCTCATGAAATCTTGTTTGAGATTCACCAGTGGGAATTATTACATATAATTATGCAGCAATAATATGTGATTGTGTGTGTGTGAGTGTGTGTGAGTGTGTGTGAGTGTGTGTGTGTGTGTGTGTGTGTGTGTGTGTGTGTGTTCAAGGTCAACTGTTTTGTACTTTAAATGAAGACATGGTTGCTAGATTAAATGAATGCTTTGATAAAAATGCAAAATGAAGTGACTTCTTGCCTCGGTGAAAATGCATTGAGGATGGACACGTCTCGTAATAAAAGCTAAATTCAACAGCAGTCGGTGGCGAGACCTTTGGAATGCTGCAGAACTCCTCACCTGACGTTGCTTTGACAGAGTGCTTTTGTAAAAAGTCCAGGGACTGAGCCAATGCTTTCTTGTTGCAGTGAGTGGAGAGCTCCTCATTACATTCAAAACACCTGTTACAATGAGATGGGGGGGGGGGTCATAGACAGAAACAGAAAGGCTTTAAGTTACTGTGGAATTGAACAGCCCTCAAGGAACTAAATGTTGAAATGAAGCATTATGTGACAACAGAATTTCTTGGCTGAAGTGGAAAATCATCAACTTCAAATATCAGAATGGAGCGAACAAGCATTAGTACCAGATTAGTGCACCTACAATGTCGTATAAAAATATATAAAGGTTTCTGAAAATTGAGTTCGCCAAGATCAAGGAGAATTTAGGACAAAACGCACCTTCAGTGTATGATGTATGTATGTAAAAACACTTAGCAACTACTGTTTCCTATATAAACCCACACACTGTCGGCATCTTGACATGTGACAATAGAGGTTGACTAGCACTGTGTGCAGTCTTGGCTTTTTCATCACAGTTCAAAATGAATGCAGTTCTTAGGTTTCTCACCAAGCCTTCCATGTGCTCAAGCTAATGGTGATGCAGTGAAACTCGGGATGGAACGCTTGATAGTGCTTGACAGCGTGCTGGATACCAGAGTGGTTACAGCCCTGCAAGATAGATACATTAAAAAAACTGTATTAAAAATCTTAACAAAACATACATGTCTATGTTTAAAGACCATGACTCATTCCCACCTCAAATTTGCATGTCGAGCAAAAAAGTGCATATTCATTTTTTCCATGATGATTTAAAACTGGGTTCAAAACTATGTTTTTATCTTGGTTTGTTTGCTTGTTTGTCTGTTAGTTGGAAGGATAATGCAAAATCTACAGAACAGATTACTACAAAACTTGGTTGAAGGATGTAGTACCGGTCAGTAAGGACCCAGTCAATTTTGGTGCGAAACTCCAAATCCACATCAGGTGACAGATCCAGGACATTTTTTTCTACTTTCTTATACATTGTGAGATGGGGTACTCTTCATCATTTTGTTGATATCTAAGAGAATAATTAATGAATAAATGAAACAAAAAAATCAGGCATGTTTAGAGAGCTGATATTAATTATTGTTTGCAATTTATATAGATTGTAAATGTCCAAAAGTAACGGAACAGATGGTTTTAATGTAACTTAAAGTAAATAACACTTATTGTTTTTATTTGTATAGCCCATGCTTGCAATAACTACATCAAGCCTGTGACCAACTGACATCCCCAAACTGTTGCATTCTTCTTTTTTGAAGTTTTCCCAGCCTTTTACCAGAATCTGTGCGTTCATAACAAACACAGTGCGAATTTCTGCAACACCCTAAACATGCCTATATAGATCATATGTATTTATTCTGGTTAATTGTGCGTAACGTGCAAAACACAACAGGGGAGTAGGACTACTGGCTACTCGCTTTAGCCACTACTCCTACTCCCTGGTTGTGTTTTGCACATACCGCACAATTAACCAATAAACATAATTTTACAATCAGCTTCAGTAGCTTTTAATGTGAATTTGTCGAATTTTGAAATGTTGTAAATTACAAACTGTAAGTTTCTCTCACAAGTGTCAAACATCAGACTTTTATGCTTAACGTGCATGTTTTGAATTACCTATATGTCTGTCACACCTGATCACTTTTTCTTTGCCCCTCGTTATTATGCAAATATTGCAAAGACGTGTCAAAGTGTTGTTTTAACACATAAATACAACACATTATTTTACATTGTCCATGGTTTTTTTTTAACATTATGATTATGAAGTACACGAACCCACCAAAGTATGAACAGCGACGTCACAACTCGGGAAACGGGACCTTCCGAGGAGCACGTGAATGTACACTGTGTCTTCACCATATATTATAAGAAACCCAAATCTTACCTGGAAACCACACTTTAAACACACCAGGATGTCATGGGATGCTGCCGGTTCTCCGTCGATCATGGTCCTCTCCTTTAGGCACTCAGAGCACACCAACCACACGCTGGACAGGACCGACTTCTTCACTGAACTCAGGTCCACTGCCTTACTCACATGCTGGCAAGTCAACCCTAATTTCAAAACAACACAAAATAAATTGGTGATAAAAACCATGTGTTCTACTCATTGCAAGATACATTCTCTCTTATGGATATTCTGCCATACCTACTAACATAGATCATAGAGAAATAATAATACCCCATTGATGAACAAAACAGACAAAAATGACAAATTGTTGGTGTTCAGCTGAGACTTATGTTGTGTTTCCTGTTTCCAACACTTTCATTGGCTGTGGAACATTACTTGATAAAGAGCACAGATCTTACTAAGAACATAAGAGTTGATCCCATTTACTATGCACATGAAAACTCACAGCCCTAACTTTAACAGCCTGGTGTCCAGCACTGCTTCAGTGACCTACCACTGACTTCATCTGAGGACTCTTCGTCTCGAGGCTTCCTCGGCTTATTTGTCCGCTTAGTCATATCGGCGGCTTTCAAAGAGAAAGGGTCCTTTAGCCGCATCTGGAGCTCTGGAGGTGAACACAGAGGACAAACCAGTGTTACAACACAAAATGAAACAACGTGACCGTGTTTGAACAGTGATACTAAAACGTGTCTCCGTCTTCCTGTTAGCTGACACTTCTATCCAAAGCGACTTCCAATAAGTGCGTTTACATGTTGCTTATTGTTGCAGGTAACCAGCAACACAACGCAGCTCTTCAGTGTTTGTACAGTGACACATTTCTGCTGTACCTCAACAACAAACCTTCAGTAACACATCCACAGGTGGACGGACATGACCAAACCTTAGTGAATTCAAATGATTATTATTCCTGAGGCTTAGTCTTCAATGTGGGTTTCATGTTTGAGGCCATTTCTACATTGTTTACCTGACATAAGACGTGACGACCCTTCAGGATCAGTAGAGCTGCTAGTTATTAATCCCACTCAGATTATCATTTCAATATCACCGTACAGGACTATTGAGCCAAATCAATAAATATCTGACTGTGTAAATACTTATACCTCAGATTACACGTGTTACTATATTAAGGTTAACTACCGGGTATTGGACAATAATACGATTAAGAGGCCTCAATTAGACCAGAGCGTCGGGTTTAGATGGATATAAAAGTTGTTCATCTAACAACATCTAAATAACTTCAAATGTCGAAATGTTGTCTCCATACTCAGAATCGAGGAGAAGGCGGTGTGGACTCACCTCTTAATTGCAGCTCCTATGTTGACTGTGTTAGCTAACCTGAAGCCAACAGTGAGATGTCAACTCTGCCCAGCAAACAGGCTAGCTGCATTAGCAGAATAAATGAAACATCATAGGGTGTGTTTGTCCAACAGCACACGGAGACATGGAGACATTTCGTGGGACAGTTCCGTCAACAGCTGAGCGGTGTCTCAATAACTCCTCGTGTGGTAGCATCGACTAGCAACACAAGTCAACATGTGACGCACTACGGCGGCTCGGTTAGGCCCAGTGCTGCGTTCAGGGACAGTGGCCCGAAACTGGAGGAGGCGAAACATCACGGGGCTGCGTTCAGGAGCTCGTTTGGAAAACGTGTGATCGGTTTGTTGGGATATTTAATTCACGTAGGAATAAAAATGGAAAGTTGGACTCTAAGAAGAACCTGAATTATGTAATGAGGTGTTGCTTCAAGCGTTTTTATTTTAATATAAAATGAGTGGTCTCTTTCAAATTCATTCCTGTGGTGTTTTACGATCAAACAAATATAACTCAGTTTAAGATTAAGGGTTAATATAATGAGATCAGCATGGCAGCATGAATTACTCTCTAAAATTAATCTGACCAGATGCGGACATACTTTATGTAATAATATAATAATAACATTCTAATAATAGTAATAATAAACTTTATTTCTATATAGCGCTTTTCTACAGCAACAATACTATAAAGTAGTGAAAAACTAAAACAGAAATAAACTAAAACAGTATAGATGCAAATCAGACATTGCCAAAGGCTTTCAAAGAGAGAAAGGCTTCAAGAAAAGATTTCAAAGAAGCTGGTGAAGTGGGTACATGTCACATGTGTGGTTATCATTGTGTTGTCATTTTCCACGACCTGGAAGGCATCAGATAGGATCTAATAACACTGAGCCACATGAACGTGAGCAGCTTCGAGCTCGTGCTGTTTATTTACGTTGATGATCCTCTGACCTATGGAGCGATGGGACGATGACGAGCTGCGGACTATTTTTGTCCTTCCAGGGATCCGTACTGCGGCGCAGGCGCATGTCCGCAGTGAGAGGGTGAACCTGACCAGAGTGACTCTGCCACCCTGCACCATTGTGACGCTGTGGCTCCATGTTGATCCAGTGTAGGTACAGAGGGTAAAGTCAGCGGACATGGCTCTCAGAAGGTGCTGGAGGTTCACAGGAGCGGTCCCGCGGCTGCTGTGGCGGAGAACCGTCCAGCCCGGTGCTTCTGTCCCGGGGGGACGGAGCTCTGTGTCCAGCCTCGATCACACTCAGCCCGGCTGCACAAGTGAGTTTCACCCACACATTTGGAGCTGTGTCCATTTGTCTGCTTGTCCACCGCCCACATGAGTGTCTGCTCACTACCACGTTTCATAATATTTCACATAACAACCCTCGTCTCTATCTGTGGAAGTCAATGGCTAATGTGCAGTCCTGTTTCTCTGTATATGTCCTGCTAACACTGTAAACACTGTTACTCTTAATACTCCTTATATTTCCTTGCGTTTAAATTGCATTTTTACTTATTTATTAGTTTAACTGATGTCTATATTTCGACCTTGTCTTATTTGCTGCTGTAACTCATCTTATCTTATCATTTACATATTAGCACAGGTCACATGTTTTGCTTGTTTTGCTTCCAGACAAAGCGTTGCTTCTGTGCAGGGCCTTCACTTCAGCGCCACCAAGCACAGATGTGACATACAAGCAGCTGAAGCAGCTCCTGGCCAGCAGCGAAGCTGTGGTTATAGATGTCAGGGAGCCCTGGGAGCTCAGAGAGTACGGCTTCATCCCCGGGGCCATTAACATCCCCTGTGAGTGCTGATCCAACTAAAGTACACTAATGGTTGTATTGTAATTGCTTTATCCCATCTTTTGTGTTTTCTGCAGGTCATGATCACATCTGGGAGTGTCCTCACTCATAAAGTCCGTCTTATAATGCATTGATTAGCCTCTACAGGTCTGTAACAGACCATGGCCTTTATGCAGAATGTTTATTTAAAAGCAAAATTCTCTACATTTTATTTTCAGTTGCAAATGGAAATAACTAGTGCAGTGCACGTTCTAAACCTGCCTGTTTGGAATGGACTGTTATCTTGGTCTGTGTTAATGCTCTGGAGTCGATTTCAGAATTATTCCCTGTCATTAGTGAGTCCTCCTCAGACAGTTTCTGCAATGCACTGTCACTTTTTATTGTTTGCATGCAGAGCTTTTTATAAACAGTCTTTGGTACAGAGTAAAGTTAGAAAACTTTGTGTTAATCATACCTGGTTTATCTGCAATGATGTTTTTAATGAAATGAAACTGAATTTGCTGTATTACTGTTCACATCTTTTAAGGTTTAAATGATTTACTTTACTGGTGCTATTTTTTCATTCATTACATGTCAGCTATTTCAGAACTATTGAAGCAGTAAACACAATCTTCAGACCCAACTTCGCTGAAGTTGGCAAGATATTCGCTCCACATAGAGTCAAACAGACAGACAGAAAGACAGACATTTGTGGAATTAGTATGTAGATATTCAAACCCTAACAACACATCTGGACCACTTTGACCTGTGCCTCTTTGTCATCGCAGTGGGACAGGTGAACACCGCCCTCCAGCTTGGTCCGGAAGATTTCAGAGAAAAGTATGGTGGTGAAATGCCCGAGCAGACAGACAACATCGTGTTCACCTGCCTGGCAGGGATTCGGAGCGAGAAGGCAGTCAAGGCAGCTGTGTCGCTGGGATACAAAGAGTGAGACATTTCTCCTTGACATATGTTTGTCAGAAATCACTCATTCTCACCTCAACTCAAAGTCCACCACTTATTGAATTATTGTAGTCGTGTACAGTAAGTGTGGGTCTGGGTAAAGGTTAGAGTAGCAGAATACGTTTATGGCTGACTTTGTTAGACTTTCTCACTCATTGACTGACTTATATTTTATCATGAGACAGCAGTTTGAGGTTATTTCCCAACAGTTCAATCTATTTCCTTTTTTGTTTTTCTTCATTTCAGCATTCATCATTACCCGGGTGGATGGAAAGACTGGGCGTCAAATGAGCAACACAACTGATCCAGGGTTAAATGAAGACATAAAGCATATGAATCTGTTTTTTAATTTATCTGACATCAAACTTGAGTCAGAAGTTCGTCCACTGTCTTGTTAATTTAAGAGCCTGAGATGTTAGTTGTTCTCCTCAAAAGTGAAAACAGAGGACTCGACACACATCAGCAATAATCATTTCAACAGTGGTAGAAAAATGATTTGAAGTTTCTTGTAAATATGTTGTGTGATCACAATTGTTCAGCGCTAAGTACAAGTGTGAACACACTTGGGATGCATGTGGCCACATACGAATGAATGTTGCAACAGTTTAAATATATTTTTACACTTCTTAGTTGTCCATGTGTCGATTTGTTTGTAGCCACCAACACAATATCAAAACTGACCACCACAAGATGACTGATCGAACTGTAAAAACAATATACCTCGGTCTTCGCAAACACAAATGTCGTACTTGATTATTTGCATTTAGAGAAGAGAAGTGAGATTCAACCACAGTTGGTCACAGGAGACACATTCAGGACACACGTTAGTGCCAGGTGTGAACAGACAAATTTAACACTGTCTACTTGTGACTGCATCTCTGAGGGCTTATGTTAAAACCAGGTCTGAACAGGACCATTTGGGCAGTGACTGTAATAATCAGCACAATTATAATCAGACCATGTAAAAAATGTGCTTGAGTGTTTATTTTCAGAATAACTATGCAAATGACTGCTTACCTGTGTTTGATTGTGGGTGAATGAGCCTCCCATTACATATTTGTAAATATAAAATAGTGTGTTGCTCAACTGTCTGTGTAGTTGTTGCCAGCATCATTCAATAAATAAAGTTATAGTTTTGATTACCGTTAACATTAAGTGTGTGATTTATTTTGCAGTTTGTATATTTATTTATTTTATTATAAGTATAATTCACATTTTTGATTATGTGGATAAAAAAAAGTTATTGAAGTTATAAAACAATAATATTTGTTGGATATTTAAAACTGAAATATGAGCCTGCATGTCTATATTCATGTTATTTTCTGTTATTGGTGTCGGTAGAATAATGGTCTGTTGACAGCAGAAGACAACAATGTCTCCACAACTTTTTTAAGTATCTTGTGAATGTATGCTAGTAGAGTAGAATAAGTGGTGATCAGGAAGAAGGGGTTCTGGGTTTATACTAAAAGTTAAGATAAGCCTAAATGATCATGAATTTGCTACGACTGGGATTCTGTGATGCATGAGGATATATATGCCATGTGTTCTCTCTTCTCCTTTGTTTCATTCCAGACTTATTCATTAACTCCACCATGGAGGCTGTTTTCATCCGTGTCCGTTTGTTTTTGTGTAAGCAGGAATACATAAAACTCACTGGATATATTTCCATTATATTTGCTGGAAGGATACAGTATGGGGGAAGAAGCCATACAATTTTGGTTTGCAGGGTCAGGGGGCAGATCCATTTATTTTTGCGCTTTCTTTAACATCATGAGTTTTTCAACATTTTCCATGATTTCTCAGGGAATAATTCATGAATATTTATGACAAAAATGTCTTGTTTAACAAGTGGACTGTTGGGCTTTGTCAAACTGTAGGTATGTGCTTTCTGTGTGTCCTAGTTTTCTCTCTCTATGTAATGGGGTTAACTCTGTAGTATAGAAATACACCTTGTATTCCCTGAATCCTCATGTACCACCATGTACCACAAAACTAATTAAAATGTTTAAAAAGACAGGAGAGGACACTGACTTTGATGATTTGTGACATAATTATCCACAGGCTGGCTGAGGTGACAGCTGCTGCGACCATGATGATCTACAGTATTGAAGGGTTATGTCTAATACCCAGGCTTTCTCAGTATGAATTTGCCACCGACTCTCTATGGAACATTAACAGGTTCCTTCGTCATCCATGATAATGAATGTGTTTGTTTTCAACTGGGAAGAATGCAGACCATGTACATGGAACACACACACACACACATACACACGCACACACACACACACATCCCAGTACTGAACTGAAAGTATAAAAAGAAATGAAACAAATAAAATCACCGGATTAGGCAACATTTAAAAAATATCAAAGCCCATCACGGATCTCAGAAGGAAGACTGACCTCAAATTAACTTTTCTTGATGCATGAGTAAATAATCTATCTCAGAAGTTTTAATACTATTTCTCCTCTTAGACTATTTATCAGCTTTCTCCCCACAGGCGAGGGAGTCACCCACGATTTAACTACTACAGTAGATAAGTCAATTAAACACCATTTTCACTACTCATTATTGTCTGGCCTGTTACAGCGGGAAAGACTTAATACATCATGTCTGTGCTTCCTTTATTGTTGGTCATTTTAAGCTGCACCCTCTTGAACACTCTTTTCAAAGGATATTCTTTACATAGTCTTATCACCGTATACTTGATGACCTTTCTATTATTTTATCAGAATGACAAATAACATGATCTGATGATTAGTTTTTCAAATCAGAAGCTATGGAAAATTAATAATTCTGTTTGGGGTCTGAGACCTCAGCTATGAAACCAGGTTGAATGCATTTAATTTTCATATGCCCTATATTTGGATGGCTGAGACTCAGGAGGTAAAGAGGGTTGTCCATGCAAAAGGTTGGTGGTTTGATCCCCAGCTCATCCAGCCTGCATCCCGAAGTGTCCTTGGGCAATATACTGAACCCCAAATTGCCCCCGATGGCTGTTCCGACAGTGTATGAATGGTGTGTGATAGAAAAAGTGATCTATGTAGAAGCACTGTAAACATGCGACTTGAAAGTGCCTTCAGTCAACGATACAACTGGAAAAGTGCTATGTAAATTACATTGACACTTCAAGCACTATCTCTCAGAAGAACATGTATGTATTAAAAAGATTTTGGAATTTCTTTGTTAGCTTTCTGTATATACAGAGGTTAAGTAAAAACGAAATATGGAAGTCAGGCTGACATTTGAGGTGAGACATAATAAATATTGTGAAATGCTCAAGTGATGAGTGATGTTAGTTGATTGCAACATGAAAAGATTTAGAGGAGTCAGATTGTTCATGAATGAAATGTTCCTCCACTTTCCCAAAACGTCCCACGCTGCTGCCAGATCTGAGGTCAGTGGAAAAGAACAGATGTTCACATAATCCATCGAGTCAGAGCTCACAAGATCAATGCATTTGAAAAATCCTTTTAGAAGTTGAATTTGATGATTTATCATCTGGCTTAAAGATGGTTTTATGAATTCTTTATTTTGGTCATTCTGTTCTTTTTTCTCTGTGTAAGAAGCTTGAAAGGTAGGTTTTCTAGGAAGGTTAATGTTTACAGTAAACTTTAAGGACAGTGACAGTGTTTACTGACCCTCGACCAAGTGAAGGTGTCAATGAAGACCACTGTTTTCTCCCCTCATATCACTGTGCCATGTCAACCGTAAACTCCAGACTACAGCCGCCCCTCCTCCTTTTTTTCCTGCCTCTATATTTTCCCCTCAGAAGCGCTTGATTCCAATTTCTTTTTCCTGCATGCTGCAGTTTTAATATGTCGAAAACAGACCAGACTAATAAGTACTAATTTATGTCAAATCTCGCCAGGGCCCTTTGTTCCTCTGCAGCAGCCGTAGCCTCATCAGGTCACCCTCCAGCCTCTGCTCGGCGTTCAATTAAAGTCCCTCATCCCATCAGAGCAGATCACGTCAGTGCTGCACCTACTGGCTGCCATGACTGAACAGACCCTGCCTGCCTGCCGCCCAGTGCTGGGGTGGACACTGAGGTGGTGCATGTACCATAATCCTGGCAAAACCTTTACTGGCTGTGAGTTAGACTGATATATTGTCTGTATATTGCGGAGGGACTAATAGGTGAACCCTCCACTGATGCCATCAGCTACTGTCACAGCCCAGATCTGCTCCTCACAAGCTGCTGACAGATATCTGAGCTGCAGGTCAAGCTTGCATTGGTGCAGAGGTTCGAGATTCCACAGGTGTTGGCTCATGCAATGGGCTGTCTCAGACAGAGAAGGGGGCTGAGGAGATATAAAAACCTCACAACGGGCTGACGATCAGAGTGCACACCAGGAAGCTGGAGCAGCAGTTGAGAGCAGTAAACCTGCTATTTCTTTCAGAGGAAGCACAGGAAACACTGCCGCAATCATGAGCCGCAGCCCAGAGAGAATCTCATCCTACCGCCGTCACTTTGAGGACATCAGCAGCTTTTCCCATCAGGTCAGGGTGTCGAGCCCATCCCCCACGAGGAAAGAGGCCCGTCATGCCTCCGCCGGCTACTCCTGCAGAGCCGGGGCTGGCAGCATGCGTGTGGAGTCAGTGGGAAGAAGGAGCGTCTCGGCTGCACGCAGGTCTCGCATAGTTGGAGCAGGGTAAGCTGGGTCAGAGCAGTCCCCTATGGACTAAGGTTTGTGAGCAGGCTGTACACTTATTATTTTCTAAGGTGAGCTTGTTGCAAAAAGAGAGTGTTTGTGAAAGTTCCACTTCCTCAAGCCATTTCCCCTCCCTTAGACTAGAGTTCTGTGGCTTTGCATTACATGTGTATTGGTGTGTGTTGTCAGTGTGAGTGCAGGGGCCATGGTGTGTGTTGGGCCTAACGGAGAGCCTGCCATGGACCTGGATGTGGCTGCAGCTGAGAACCAGGAATTCCTCAGCACACGCAAAAGTGAGAGACAGGAGATGGTAGTCCTCAATGATCGACTGGCTATATACATTGACAAGGTAAAAGCATTCATGCTACACACACTATTTTTTCCAATCAGGGCATTATTCTCACCTCTGTGAGCACATAGACAGGAATACATATTACAGTGTCTAGTTTGGGCCAATTAAAATACCTCAGCTGAGGTTTTCCTGCACTTTTAGGTTCGATCACTGGAGCAGCAGAACCAACTACTGGAGGCCGAGATCGAGGCCTACCAGAACCGCTTTGAGAGGCCAACAGGTCTGCGCCTCCTGTATGAGGAACAGCTGAAGGAGCTGAAAAAGATTGCTGAGCAGATGAGGATTCAGCGGGTGAGACAGAATTATCCAAGCTGCACATTGTTTCTTTTCTTTCTCTCTTTGTTGTATGATGCTCAAAAGCAGAAAGACTGAATTCTTTGCTTCTGGCGAGCTTTACACCTCACTAATCTGCGTTAGACCCATCCAAGCAATGATACAAGACGTCAACTTGGTGTTTTCAAGGTTCCTTACCTGGTAACAGGCATATTTCTGGCAGGCAAATAGAGAAGTGCCTCAGCATGTTACGGTGTCATGGAGTACATCTGTCTGTCTCACACACACACACACACACACACACACACACACACACACACCCACGGTCAGGTTTAAAGACAGGACATGCAAAAAAGGCTGATCTGCATTTTTCACACAGCCATGCACACACCTTCAAATCTCATGGCCGAGCAAATTACTTATGGCTTTTTGGTTTTCAGGATGTTTCCTTGGCTTCGAAGGAGTTCACAGCTGCTCAGCTAGAGGCAATCAAAATCAAATACGAGGAGGCAGTGGAGCTGAGGAAGAAAGCTGAGATAGACATTGAAACCTTCCGTCCAGTAAGTTGCATCTAATTAGGAAATTATAATTAGTCTTTACCATATTCATTTAAAGTTGTAATAATAATGGTGTGCGTTCTTCAGGATGTGGACAAAGCCACCTCCTCACGCATTGCCTTGGAGAAGAAGCTGGAGCAACTGGAAGTTGAAATTGAATTCCTAAAACGTGTTCATCAACAGGTGCATAACATCTTTACGTAAGATGTACATATTTAGTTTACCTTTCATTTTGATGGTACTTTTTTTTTTTTTTTTTCAGGAAATCGATGAGCTCATGAAACAGATCTATTCAGCTCATGCTGCAGCTGAGAGTGCATTCACAATGCCTGACCTGGCAGCTGCTCTGAAACAAATCCAAACCCAGTATGATGACATTGCAGCCAAAAATCTCCAGGTAAAATAATTAGACTTTAGCAGTGGAGTATTCAGTGAAATCTTCTATTCTATGTTAATCTATGGAATTGTTTCCCCTTTCATTTCTAGGAAATGGATTCATGGTATAAAAACAAGTTTGAAGATCTTACAAAGAAGACAACGGGACATGTGGATAGGGTTCGAAGCTTTAGAGAAGAAATGGCTGGTGCCAAAAAGGAAGTGGGTGTCAAAAGTGAAAACCTATACATACATTTTGAATGAGAATCAATAATGAATGGCTATTAATAAACAAAAAAATGCTAAACTATCTCCAGATCCAAAACAAAGAACGTGACTTAGATGACCTGAGGACCAAGAATGAAGCTCTTGAGGCTCAGATCCTAGAGTTGCAAGAAAAATACAGGAAGGAACAAGAAGACATGCACGTAAGTGTAGACGCAGATGCAGGGTGCTCACCTGGTCACACCTGAGTCAGTCATGAACACACAGCTTCACTTTCATGCATGCAGACACAAAGCCACAACGATGGTTCAGGTAATTACATGGCTTTGTTAATAGGCTCGGATTGAGTCCCTGCAGCTGGAGCTGAAATCCACAAAAGAGAAAATTGCGCTGCACCTGCGTGAATACCAAGACCTCCTGAACATCAAGATGTCTCTGGAGATTGAGATAACAACTTACAGGTAAAGGAATAGCAACCTGAAAACGGACTTATTACTACATATTTGAATACATCTTAGTCTGAATTTTGTCATCGTTTGTATTTTCCTTGCAGAAAATTGATTGAGGGAGAGGACCTGAGGCTGGCTGGTATGATGCAGACGCTGTCTCTGACCGCCTGTTCCACGAACGCTATTGGTGCTGGGGTGAGCTTTGGTGGAGGGAGCATGGGCGGAGCAGGTGGAATAAGTGGTGGACTGATAGGAGGTGCTGGTGCGAGTGCAGGAGGCATGGGGAGTGTAGGAGGAATGGGAGGGGGCATGGGTGCAATTTCAGGCAGTACTGCTGGAAGTATAGGTGGAAGAATGAGCACTGGAGGTAGGGCGGATGGGGCAAACAAGATTGGTGGTCATGGATTGGGAGCTGGGGCTGCTGGTGGAGGTACAGGTGCTGGTGCTGGCGGTGTGGGTACTGGTGGACTGGGTGCCCGTGGTGGCTCTAGTGTTGCAGGGCACGGTACTGGACCTAGAGGTGCAGGTTTGGGTGCTGGAGGAGTGGGAACTGGGTTAGGAGGAAACTTCAGCGCAGGGAGCATGGGGGACAGCAGCGTGGGCGGTGTTGGAATGGGTCCAGGTAGCGGCTCTGCAGGTTCTGGTGGCGTGGGGTTCAGTGGAAGCGAAGGGAGAGGGGATGGAACTGGTGGAGGAATTGGAGGCAATGGAGGCAAAGACAGGGGCAGTGGAACAGGAGGCAGTGGAGGAACTGAGAGTGTTGGTGGGGATGTTGCATTGTCAGGCATTGGTGGGAGGAGTGGAGGAGGGGGGGGTGAAACCAGCGGACCCGGGATGGGATATGGATCAGATGCATATGACCGCAACAGTGAAGCCTATGCAGATCAGGCTGTGGAGCTGACGGAGAGAAGGACAGTGCTCATTAGGTAAAGGTACCAGGTGTCATTTGTGTTCTCCTAAACAGGGCCTTTGTATATCGTAGCATTTAAACCCAGATTAAGAAGCAGCAACTTCAAGAATCTTAACCTCCTTCATGACAGAGTTAGGACCAGTGTCCACCTGCCTAGATGTCCAACCCTCTCTTTGTTCTTTCCTCCCAAACAGAACAGTGAAAAAAGAGGGTGACGTAATTGAGACAGACCGCCAGGAACAAACCTACACCATCAGCGGTGCGGCCGATGAATCTGACGAAGAGTGAGCAACCCAAACTCCCCAGTGACCTCCTCTCACCCTTAAACCTCCACGCCCCTCTGAGCTTTGCACTGACCAAATGCCATGTCTGGGCACTGACCTGCGACCTTTGCCCTGGACAAGAAGACCATGACTGACCCTTTGCTTCAAAGTTAAACCTTCCTCGAGTTTGAATATGCCTAAGAACACTCAACATGCTCTCTAAACTTTTGTGTGCCTCACACTCCCTCTGTTTTCTTCCCACCGCAAATAAAGCTATCAGCATTCAATTACCTTGTCTTTCTTTTATTTGATGTCTCTTTTAGGTTTTTCTCTGAGGTGCCTATAAGGTCACTACATTTTATCCAACACTGTAGTTACATGAAATGTAAAAGTATAGGTTTGCTCAGCAGAGAGACATCATGCTGTTGTTCATAGCTTTGGCTTGGATGGAAGAAGAGTGGAAAAAAGAAATAAGGAAATCAAAACATAGAGAGAGAGAGACAGAGTCACCTGAGGGTCAAGGCGGTTGCCCTGACACTTTCTGGAGGCCTGAGGAATCCATCAGTCAAATTCTGCTCTGCAGCGGACTGACGGAGCACAGCCGTTTTCTGTCCTCATTCCATCCACATCCACACCTTTTACTCCCGCTGCTGATTGGGAGCGACTGCATCTGGCCAGCAGATGCCAAACACTCTCAGTGTCCTGCTCAAGGGCTAAGAGCAGAAACATGCAACACACCAATCCAACAAAAACACAACAAAGATATGAGAAGAGGAAGATGACCCGTTTTATTCTGGCAGAAATAGCATTATAATTACAATGGAACACAACTGACTAAACTTAAAATCAAAAAACATACATTTTTAATGACCTTATAGAAAGGCCTCTTCATTAAATATAGTGGAACCTTAAAGGGCTGTTCTTTTAATGAAGATGGAAATGAACATGGAAAAGTGATAATAAAAACACATTATTGTTTCTTGTTCACTGGAGCAATTTTGGTGTTCATTTTATTCACAAACAACTGAACATGTTTATTTAACAATTAGAACATTTCATATAAAAATGCATAGTTTAAGTATTCTTCTATTTTTATATTTTGTATAGTGTGCTGTGTGCGGGATACCTTACTGCTGTAACAGCCCATCCCAGTTTGAGATTGATAAATAGCATCAATCTATATGTACAATATGTGCATCAAAATGTATTGTATTTCCCAGCAAAAAGAAATGCAAACTGAATAACTGTTTTCATTTGCCATTAAAATCCTAACTATAAAGAATATTTGTTGTTTTTAATTCATCTAAACGTGTAATTCAACATTGTTAAATAAGTAAATGATAAAACTATAAAACGAGTTATAATTAAGCTCACCTCGTTCCATGGAGCCACCAGCATCTTATAGCCACATCACCACATTGTGAATAATTTTTATAACACTGTAATAAAATAATCAATATTTCTCCCGGACGTCACTTCCACAAGCTCATCCCACCCGAACACGCGGGAGACAATTAGTCTGAACCCGAGACTGTCAATCGGAGAAATAATGAGGAGCCGCGAGACGCTCGTATCATTAGATCACATTTTGTTACAGCAAATTAATAATGTGCGTCCAACCCGAAACAAGCGTACAGCTACATATATCCTGAATCAGCCTGTGTATAGGTATAAGATTCAGTTCAGGGAAATAGATGCACACTGGGTCTACGTGAAGGAACTGAATAGATTTTTAATAGAATTACCCAGAGAGGGAGTGTGTCGGCATGTTGGTGTGTGTGTGTGTGTGTGTGTGTGTGTATACATACGACATGGAGCTCTCCATGGTGCTTCGTGCTCAGAGTTAAAAAAAACGGATGCACCGGAGGAAAGGATGAGTGTATAGCGTTCTCATTAAAATAAATACATGAATAAGACACAAGCAGTGATTTGGCAAAATTTTACCATCAAAATTACATTTTCAATACATCAAATGTTATGCATTTTTTAAATTTGAATCATAAGCAAAATATTATATTAAATTAGTAGCAGTATAATTATTGACATTATTATTTGCTGTGAGAAAAAATGGTCGTTCTTTACTATTTAAAAGAAAATCCACAAGAAAAGTAATAAAAAAGAAAATAACCATGACTTCAGTTTAGATGTTTGACCTTATTCAAACATACAGGCCAGTCAAGGTTAGTCCTTCATGTCTTCAAACATGCTCTTTGCCACCGTACTTGTTTTCCTCACACTCAGTTTGCAGGAACACACCGCGCAGCCAAGTGGGTCACTAACCTTCATCCTGCAAGAAAAATGGTGTTTTACTCGGAGCCGAGGGAAAGAGCTGCCCATATTCACCAAGAAGGGCAAAAGTTGGGACTCTCTTTGAAACTCTGCGCCTCTGTCACTTTGTGCACATGCTTTGGGGTGGCTAAATCCCAATTAGGGTCGGCTGACACGCTGCTCCATTCATCCGCGGCCCTGCCTGCATACATTTGCCTAGGAATGAACTCCTCAAATGGATCCGCTGCTAAATGCGCCGCGCAGCAGAGAGAATCGGCCTGAGTGACACTTTCTTTCTGAGGCGCTCGAGTGAGAAAAGGTATGAATTTATAAGGTACACCGAAACATATCAATTCACGCAACTCGGCGCGCCTTTATCTGCGTCTGCTCATGCGAGACAAAGTGACTTTAAGGCAGGGAAATGTGGCCTGGAGAAAGAAAATAAAAAGAGCTGGGCGCAAAACTTCAGAGACTTTGAATACCGAAATAGTGCAGCCCCTTTCTGAGGAGGGGAGGAGAGAGGGAGAGAGGGAGAGAGGGGAGGCATTTTGAATGAAATCACGCATGAACAGCGTTGAATCAGGTGCCGTTTATTCGGCTCCTCTCTAATGCGATTTTGAATATTAGTCTGGGTTAAAATCCCAATCATGTCATCTGGTGGGAGTCCCATACAAGCATCATTACTATTCAAACGCGTCGCAAATGTCCCACCCGCACAAAAGCAGCTGGTCTGGCCTCGGAGCAGCCTGCGTCTTTCCCCAGGTTTCTCAGAGAGTGTAAGACACCTCAGATATTCACCAGGCCGGGTTACAAGAGCGGATGAAGAAAAAGAATATGAGCGGATCGGTCTGAATATTTATTTCCTTCTGTTTATATCTGATAAGATATGATAATAAAGTCAGGTTCTTTGGCCGGACAGAGTTCAGGCTGCACAGAAAAAAAACCCACAAGGATTTAGCTTTTTCTTTTTTCTCCTTCTTTATGAATTGAAGGAAAGTGTGACCAAACGAGTGTGAGAGGCGCGGAAGGTGCGGGCTTACACATGTGGAGAAATAGATGGATGCAGACAAACACACGGTCATTTCTGAGACGTGGGAATGTGTGAGAAATAGGCCACATTGCTAAGTGGGACAATGATTTCGCGGCTTCTCTTGAATAGAGCCAAACAAAGTTTATGGGTCGACATAAAAAATGTGTTTTCTTCGGAGCTCGGAGGGGTCCTAAATGGAGGGGCCATTGAAACCAGTCCAGGAGAGGTGGTGGTGAACCCTTGGCACCCCTGAGGTATAGTCAGGGCGCATGAATGGTGATCCCTGGTGGGGCATTGCTCTCTGTATTTACCGCGTTGCTTTGCAGACAGGTTGTTCCTCTATATTCATGGCTCACTAATGGCCAACCAGTTAAATCAGAGCCCCACCGTTTAGACAGTTAAAATCCCCCCTCCCCTAAAAAAAAGAAAAGGAAAGAAAAGAAAAGGCTGGCAAGAGTCAGGCAGAGCCGCCCATAAAAACGTCTCCCTTCTCTCCCCACATGTGATTCTTCTCAGGTCGTTATTTAAGTTCATTAAGAGACGCCGAGTTCATTTAAGAGAAGCGCACTTGCAGAATTCGTGTTGATTGACTCCGCAATATTGTCCCAGAGTAAAGATCCGACCATGTAATTAATGTCTTTTCTCTTTTTAGCAGGGAGGAGGGACAATACCGCCGGTCAAGCCATTTAATTTCATTTAATTTTCCATCCCATTTGCTTCCAACACTGCTTTCACTCTGACACCGTCTTTTGACTTTACGCACAGTGGATCGGGGAGGAGGCGGTGGAGGTGGAGAGATGGGACTCACCCCCAGCGACTCCTCCGCGAACAGAAAGGAAACGTCTTCGCCTTCTTCTCCGGAGAATAATGAATTTCACTGTGGAGAAGTGTTTCTTAAAGCAGCGCAGGGGTGGATGGGAACCAGCCGCAAATGCCGAGGCGTTAATAAATAACCCCTCCGCACAGCCGGGTGCAAACCTTGCGCCTATTGATGAGATTGTTCGCGTGTCGCTCAGGCTCTTTGACTGAGTGTGGAGGAGCGTGGGGAGCAGAGAGATTCATGTATCACCTGAACCGTTCAGACGCTCCAAGTTAACGCAGCTGTAGATTGTGATTTATTGTTTTGTCTGTTTGATGCATTCTTTAAATAAATACATAAATCAGCGTGCAGGTACAGCCTCTCCATATTTCCACGTGGACGTCAGGTCAGAGGTTAACGTGGTCTGAACTGATCGCCCACATGTTCTTGTTCTTTCTCTCGCTGCAACTTTCGACAACCTGCTGCACATAAAAAGGCTGAAGGCTCCACTTCCCTCAATATCCTGTGCAACCAGCAAGTCAGTCAGTCCGTGAAGGATTTCATTATTATATTATGTGCCATAATAGGGCCTGATAGTCTGGATATGAAAATGTATATCTGTTGTGGCATTTGAGTGTCCTTATGTATTTTTTTATATTATGTTCTTGATTCTAAGCACTTTGAAAACATATCTACATATTTTCAGACATTTTCAGGTTGACTGAATGATTCAAGTATCCTTCAGAGAAACCTTCCCAAAACTACAAACACACACAAAAAAATCTCTGTTATAAAAATCTTTGGTGATACGATTTTTGCAGGACACAATATATTGTACATGTTTTTATTACAAAATCAATCAATCAAGCCAGTCAATCAATATGTATTCCTGTATTTATGTCTCTGTGATGTAATAACGCTTTGACGGCGACTTTATATAGTGAAATAGTTGCGTATAATATTGAATGTTTCTAATATCACCAATTATTTGAACATTTTCATTTTAAGAATATATATGATATTCATTGCGATGAGGGGGAAAGCGTCCTGTTTTTCTTGCGTTGCGAATTTTCCTGGTCATTAATTTTAGTGTGAACACCTCACAGTTATGAATTTAATTTTTTACTAAAATGATCTCACACCTTAAGGTAAAATTACTTATTTATAAAACAAAATATCAAAATGGATTTATATTTTTTTTAATTATTTTTTCCCCTTTTCCTTCAATGAAACAACAGAATGAACATGTGTTGAATGAGGAGGACGAGACACGAAAACCACAAGTGTGTGTGTGCGCGCGCGCGTTGGGAAGATGGTGCTGGTTATTTCTAGTTGTTTTTTTTTTCTCTTCCTTCTTCTTCCTACTGGTGGTTCTGCCTTTTCAGTACCTGCCTGATCGCAACCCGGCACACGCCGAGAGTCAATAGGAGTTAACAAGTCCTCTAAACTTTCCTGCGCCTTTTGTCAACGTAAGGACACAAAAAGAGGAGGGAGAATAAAGACGCTTTGAAGTATATAAAACCCCAAAGAATGCCAGCCAAGTAGATTTAAAGTAGCCACTCATTTCCAAAAACCTGCCTTGAAAGGAGGGAATGGGAAGGGGTGAGGATTTATGGAGAAATTATACAGTGGATTTGTCAGTGAAAATATCGGAACTGTCTGCAGGACAAAGCCACATGCTGAGGATTAATGGTCGCTCTGGACCTTTGATTGTGCACCCTCTTTTCTCTGCCCTTGACAAATTGGATTTCGGGGATGGGAAGGTCGCCTGGCCCTTTGTGTCTCTTGACCGGTTTGGAGCAATTCATTATGCGGCGGGGTGAGGGAAAGTCTCCATGTGACCGGGCCGGCCCGTTTCCCCTCTCCTCACAGCTGCAGGGAGAGCCCAACTCTCTCACACTCACACACACACGCACACACATGCGCACGCACTCCATCCAGTCAAACTCTGGACCACCTCCCCCTCAAACTACCTAACATAGCACAGCATCACCTCTCTGGCCCCCCACCCCCCTTTGCATCCTGGAGTTGGAGAGGTTGGTGTATGGTGTGTGTGTGTGCGTGCGTGTGTTGGGGGTGTGTGTGTTGGAGGGGGTACCTTGCTTGCACCATCACTAGAAAAGCCGGGCAGCATAACGCCACCGCGTCACTTTGAGGACGGATATCGACCGGTCCTCATCCTCCTCTCTGTCTCTCTCTCCTCCTCCTCTCCCTCTCTCCTTCCCTGCAGCGCTCTCCCTCTCACACTCGGTCTCCATCAGTCTTCATGGTTCTGATCTCACCCCACGCCATGCAAGCCACCCGGGCGTCCACCACCGTCAGTGTGTTTGCGGACTGCAGCATCCCGGCCGGGCTCCGGATAGGACCGGTACCGGGCATCTTCAAACTGGGGAAGTACGTGACGGATCGTAAGGAAATTGGACCCAAGAAGAAGGTAGGTTAAAAAAATACACTGACATTTTCAAGAATTGGTTCAAGTTTTTCCATATTTGTGCTGCTCATTTTTTTTTACTTTGTGGCCCAGATCATGTGTTTTTTTATTAAATATTGTTTAAAGTGGCATGGTGCACTGGATATTTTATTAGGAGCTGCATTGTCATATTGTAAAATAAAAATATACGCATTATCGTATAGTTTATTTCAAAACACTCGAATTTTCGAAAAGAAAATTGTAAAAAGTTTAATCTGCAAAAATTGACTCCACCGATTACAAAAAATATAACCCCCTATAGGCATGTCTAAACTCTCTGTTGTGTAATATTATTTAAAACAATTTGGGATTTTTAAAGCTGCACTGTCAAACTCCATCGGGCCCTCGGTTATTAATTGCTTTGGCCTGTCATGTTGGAAATAATTGAGCTCCATTAGTGGCAGACTTGTCAGTCTGTGCTTCTACTTAACCGGCCTAATGGGCGACCCGGGTCTGCCGCCTCACATTTCACTGCCTGGCGGGCCTGTTATCCCGATGAGCCGTTTAATGTTAATGTAAACCGGCCACAGAAAGATGCCACTGAGGCCGCTGCCCGGGGCTGAGCAAATAAAAACAATAACGACAAGGATAAAAAGTACAAATCGATTCAATTGTTGTTCGTGTTGCTGCTTTCGTATTTGGAGTCAATGTCTTCAGAACAATATTTAAAAGTAAAAGTCTTCAGACCTGACTTTTTTTTTTAGAAATACGACAATTAAAAAATAAGTCAACCTTTCTGACACATTATCATAGTTATTATCATTATTTTACACATAAACAGACAATAAACACAAACAATTTGCTGCCATGCGCGCAGCTATAACCGCGCCCTGTTATTGTTGAGGCTGTCAGCGCTTGTGATTGATGCGTCTAAATGCGTGGCCCCCGGGCTGCAGGCGATCATCAGGTGCAATCTCTGTGTCAAATGTCACGCTTCGATCTTTAATGTCCCTGAACAGTTTAGAAACGCTCTGACACTCCTCAAATTCGTTTCCCATATCAACTCAATTAGGCCCGTGTGTCATTCTCTTTAGTAAATTATCAGCAGAGCGGATAAAGAGGCGCATTATGCGCCTTTTGGTCAGGCGTGGCCGCGCGGCACCTCCAGGTACCTCAGAGAGCCACATTATCCGAGGCAGAGATTCGCTCAGTGACACAAATATGAAGAAATAGATGCATTTACATTGGTGGATTAATTGATAAATGATTGAGATAAAAACAGAAAAAGTTTCATATTTCCCCTCATCCCTGTTCTGCTTTGGTCAGTTGCAAACCTCACTCTCATCCGTTTCGTTTCTAGATCCGCTTGGTGCGGGGAGAGTTCGTGGATGAGTCGGGCTGTCCTGTGCCAGACTGGATCGGATTCATCCGCGCCGCCAGGAATAGCCAAGAGCAAAACCTGGAGGCTGTGTCGGATTTACCTGGTGGACAGGTGAACTTTTTACCCTAATCGCACATAAATCTGTTTGTCAATATTCTTCTTCTTGTTTTTCTATTTATTTAGACGCTTTAAATTAATCCTCTTCCATTTGCCTATTTGATGTATTTGTTTAGATTTTCTACCGTGTGCTGAGAGAAATCCCTGCAGGAGAGGAGCTCAGTGTTTGGTACTCCAACGCTCTGGCCCAGTGGTACGACATCCCCACCACCGCCACTCCCACGCACGACGAGAAAGGTAAATGACACTGTTTATGCCAGAGGACCAGTTTTTACCAAGCGGCTTTTGGTCACTGGTGGGAAATAAAATGCCTTGGAATTATAAGGAACTCTGATTTTTTTAAATTTTAGCGGAGGTAGATTATTTTAATAGCAATCATGATTATACGAATACGAATAATAATAACTCAGAGAAACTAAATTCAATTGGTCTGTTTCCGTCATGTCTACAGGCTACAGGTCTGACAGTGTCATCGACATGTTGAGGCTCCATCACTGCACAGTTAAATATCTGCCAATAACCGCAATGGCCCTTCTTATCGCTCAGATATAAAAATCAATTGGATGTTTATTGTTCCTCATTCTCCTCCCGCATCATTTCTCCTTTTCAATATACTTTATGTTGGAAAACATAGATTCCGTAAACCAGACGAGAGGAGGAGAGGTGATTAGTTCTGCAGAGGATAGGAATGTTAACGGCAACAGGGCCTGAAATATAAATTGCACACATAAGGCCTAATCTCCGCATTATTTACTACGATTCCTGCTTCTCCGAGTGATTTCTTGTTGGCTGAGTTTGTGTTTGGACTGTTAATCTATTTGTTTGGGCTGCAACGATGATTTGGGGGATTTGCTATTTGCGCTTGGGGATTAGTGTCTAATCTTAGCAAAACAAACCAGCTCAGCAGGATCTAATCCGTTAATAGAAATTATTATCAACCGATACTTTGCAGGGAATTCCTCCAAGAGAAGACAGATTTCGAGCAGGAATCGAGTCTTTACTTGCTGAATGGTTATTAGCAAACTATTAAAGCAAAACGTAAATGAGTTTGAAAAAATAATATGCTTGAAACGGGTTTTTAAAAAAAGCAATTAAAGCCAAAAATGGACGTGTCTGAGGGAGGGCGGTGGAGGAAGAGGAGTCTGGTGATTCAAGGGACGTAGGTTAACAAATGCCACCGCGTCATTAATATTCATGAAGTCAAAAAGCAAATAAATTCGAGAACAAGTGCTTCACGGTGAATTAGGTGGGTGCGTTAAGGTATTGTGGCCTAATGAATGCTAACTTTTATGTGGGGTGTATATTGGCCTGACTCTCCGGCCCGACGCACCGTGTGCGCTCATGGACATACGCTCGCTTCCCATTATTAGGCGTCAACAGATGGGCCGGCACCATTGTTTCTGGAGACTTGCGATTTCAAGCAACAGCTGCTGTCACTTCCACGGGAAAGAGCACATGAGAGGGGAAAGTCCCGCATTCAATGCATCGGTTTCGGAACGCCAGATTGGGCAGGGCGTTTGCTCTTTTGATGGCGACCATAAACAATGGTCCGTATGAGGATTACAAAATCATTACATCTGTATTAACCTCGGAGTACTCGCCTGGGGGCCATTAAGATGGCTCCCCGCTATTACCATTTGGCACCAGATCTTAGGGATCGCATCGTATCAGGCCTTAAGAATCAGTTGAAGTGCAGACGTAACTAATATGAATATTAAATAATTATTATATTACATACTAAATATAAAAAATAAAAAAATGCAAGGAAAATCGAACAAATGTGACAATACGTAACTCGATTTTCACTCCAAATCGCTGCAAAAGTAAATGAAATATTTGAATTAAATTTATTTCAATTTTATTTGTATAGAACCAAATCATAATATACATTATCTCAGTGTGCTTGTGTGTGGTTATGGTCGTGTCTCTACAGGTTGCCAAACCTGTTATTTTCATTTTACGCACGGATGTGGTGTTTTTACGCATGGACATATTCTGTTAACTGTCATATCATTAGAAGGCATAATAACGTGTTTCACGCTGTGTTGTGTCAGGTAATGATCCGCGTCCGTCTCATTAATAATGTCATGCTTGTTGTCTACAGGTGAGGAGCGTTACATCTGCTGGTACTGCTGGAGAATTTTCAAATACCCGAACACACTGAAGGCCCACGTTCACTTCCACTGCGCACTGAGCAACGGGCGGGGGTTTGTGAGCAGCGAGCAGGCAAGAGGCACCGAGACATTCAGTAGGTCACCAAAGTCTGGAGACATCCCCAACACCTCCATCTCTCCCAGGACCAATCACAACAACTCCTCCATCCCAGACTCTGGGAGACGGGCGGTGTCCTCCACGTCATTTCTAATCAAATCGGGACTGTCAAAGAAAAGCAGCACCGAGGAACAGGACCGGGCCCTCGACATGAGCGTCACCGCAGCCAGGAACCAGGGGCAGCTTCTCAGCCTGGGCGCCACATCCTCCGTGCTCAGCAGCATGGGCTTCCACCCGGGTGTGCGCTCTGCCTTCAAGCCGACCGGCGTCTCCAAAGTCCCGGGCGCTGACGCCTCCAGAGAGGACGCCAACGGGAAGCTGAGTGGTATGGGATTCAACAAACTCATTGGTAACATGAAACCAATCCGGAATGTGGGCGAGACTCTGAACGGAGGAGGCAGCCATCCTCCAAAATGCGCACCTGCAATTATGGACACCACATCCCCAATGGTGCCATGCACAAACGCTCTCCGGGCTTTCCCGCTGCTGCCTCACATGGAGGAGACCTCGGCTTTTAAGCACGTGGAGAGTCGGATGCACTCCGGCCTGTCCCCCTCCCGTTACCCCCAGGTGCCCCCTGGACTCCACTTTGAACGGTTCTCCCTCCCCCACTTTGATGGCGTTAAGACTTATGGTGGAGACTGTAACATCCCACTGATGCCCTTCACTGTCTATAACGGGGAGCTTCTGTACAGTTCACCGTACTATCCTCTGAAATTCCACTTCGGAAACCTCCTCAAATACCCGGAGTCCATGTCCTACTTTGGTGCGCCCTCGTTGAGTCAAGACCTGGGCTCCATCACCAACATCGACCGGGAGATCGCCATGCACACTCAACAGCTGTCCGAAATCGCGGCGGAGAAGAATCGGACGCGGCTGGACTCGATGCCGGCCGGTGCCTCCAGCAACGCCGGTTCTGGCAAACCGAAAAAGGGACACCTGTGTCTGTACTGCGGCAAACTGTACTCGAGAAAATACGGGCTGAAAATCCACATGAGAACTCACACAGGTTACAAACCGCTCAAGTGCAAAGTGTGCTTCAGGCCCTTTGGAGACCCGAGCAACCTGAACAAGCACATCCGCCTGCACGCGGAGGGAAACACCCCGTACAGGTGCGACTTCTGCGGCAAGGTGCTGGTGCGGAGGCGGGACCTGGAGAGGCACGTCAAGTCCAGACACCCCGGACAGACGGTGAAGAAACTGGACGACAATAAACCCGGCGGCCTGTTCGAGGACGCGGAGCAGAAGAGCGACAATGACAGTGACGTGGACGTGTGCTTCACTGACGACCAGAGCGACCAGGAGTCCAGCAAAAACAATGACTGAGATGGTTTCAGAGTCTGCCCATTGTCTTTAAATGGCGTCATTTAGTCTTGTATCAAATCAGTTTTACATTAGGCTACGACATCCAACCAAAACGTCCACATTGACCACATTTAATTATAGTGGACATGTGGCCTCCAAATATATATTTCTTTATTTTTCATCAGGTCTAATTGACAAAAAAGCCCCTAACACATTTCAGCCTGAAACTCTAAAGACTTTTACAGTCTGGTTGCTTCAGAAAAAATAATCTGCGACCTTTGAGTCAAGGTAATGTTTCTCCAATTCAAAAGAAAAACTCGGACAGTGGTGTTGCAGACATTTTCGTTTGTTTTAAATGCAAATCACCATAACTTGATTTACTTGTATAAATCTGGCACTTCTAAAACCAATAAGAACAATGATCCAGGTAAAAAAAATAAAAAATCAAGGCTGAATTTGAGAGCTGAAAGTGATTTCCTATAAGTTAGATATATTTTTGCAGTGTAAAAATTTACCAGATCTGTTTTTTGTATGTCTCCCCCTGAGGAAGGAACTATGAGTTTGAAAAGCCACC